CCTCAGCCGCTGGTCGAGCAGGGAGGGGCATGGCTACAGAGCCTTCCTTCTGTGCTGAAACTTGGCATGGACCCCGGGACTCAGCGTTCTCCATCTGAGGCATGTCCCCAACAGAATCCCAGAGGGAGCTCAGGTGCGCAGAAAATCACCTTAGCTCAGACCTCCCAGGGTCAGGCACCAGGGCTGTGGTTCACCCTGAGGAGGCTGAAAGGGGCCACTGTCCCCTGCAGATGGGAGGAAACACACTTTCTACGTTGGGAGGCTGTTTAGCTGCGGACGGAGTAGCTGACAATATGCTTCAAGCCTGGCTGGGTGGAAATAAACAGAGACAAGAAGCAATCATCTGTGTGCTGTCCTCTCTCGACCCACTGGGGTCAAGGCTGTGCTCGGTCGGGGAGGAAAGGGCTGGAGCCTCCCCGGCCAGGCCTGTGTACCTGCTGCGTACCACCCACCTCCGCCCCCAGCTGCTGAGTGCTTGGTGAGTCCCCTCCAATGCTACCGTCTCAGGGCTGCATGCCTCACCATGCCGCGGTCCCCTGGGCACCCGCGTTAGAGCTGCAGCTCTGCTTTCCGGTGACTCCATTCTATGTCTGCAGCACCCTGACCTTTCCCACATGAATGAGCTCCAGGGAATCCCAGGATGGAGTGAGAAATTGTGTATAAAATCAAGAACACAGATGAATGGATACGCAGTGTGGTCTACCATGAAATAGTACTCAGCCGTGAAAAGGAATGAAGTACATGATAAGTGAAAGAAGATCAATACCATATGGCTCCATTTCTATGAAAATCCAGAGTAGGGAAGTCAGTCAAGACTGAAAGTAGTTTAATGGTTGCCAGGGGCTGGGAGAGGGAGATGGGATGGCAGCAGGAGCGGGGGTGATTGCTTGATGGATGTAGGTATAAAACATCTTTTAGGGATGAAGGTTGCATGACATTGCAGATGTACTGAATGTCGCCACATTGTCAGTGTTAGATGGTGACTTTTCTGTTACCCCTATTTTACAAAAACAACAAAATCAAGCTGGGCGTGATGGGCATGGTGGCGTACACGCTTGTAATCCCAGCACACAGGAGGCTGAGGCAGGAGGATCACCGAGAGTTCAAGGCCAGCCTGGGCTACACAGCAAGGCTATGTCTCAAAAACAGAAATGAAAATTTAAAAAAACAATCAAATGGGTTTTCTGGGGAGAAGTTTGTTAACTTTGATCAGGTTCTCAAAAAGTTACGCAGCTCTGATCTGGCCTGATACTCCCATGAGGCGGGGAGAGAATGGGACTGTATAGCAAGCACCCAGGGAAGTAAGCCGACAGGGACCGGTGACACAGCCCTCCAGGTCGCACGCCTGCCTGACCACGCCCCCCAACCCCCTTCTACCCCGTGCTTGATCTTCACTGGAGCCTCCGGCCAGACCAGCTAGTTGTGTAGCTCCCTAAAGCACAAAGCTTGCAAGAGGCTGGGTGCTCCACAAGTGTGCATCTGTTTTTTTCCTAGCAGAGTCTGAGCTCCTAGAAGCCTAGAGGTCTTTTTACTTCCCCTTACATCTCACCGAGTTCCCATTGCAGCCGAGGCGCGGTGAACCGTTCCGTCTCCCTCCAAGAAAGAACTCGCTGAGTCAGGCTTGGTGACGCATCCTGTCATTTTAGCTACTTGGGAGGCTGAGCCCGGAGGATCACAAGTTTGAGGCCAGCCTAGGTAACTTAGGGAGACGCTTTCTTAAAATGAAATTAAAGCCAGGCGTGGTGGCGCATGTCTGTAATCCCAGCACTGGGAGGCTGAGGCAGGAGGATGGTTGCGAGTTCGAGACCAGCCTGGGCTACAAAGCGAGCTCAAGGCCAGCCTGAATTGCATAGCAAGACCCTGTCTCAAAAAGACAATAAATAAATAAATAAATAAATAAAAGGGTTGGTGATGTAGCTCAGTGGCAGAGCACCCTGAGTTTAATCCCCAGTATCACAAAAAAAAGAAGAAAATTATTTTCTTTTTAATTGACAAATAGTGATTCTTACATTTATGGGGCACAGTAGGCCTTACTGAAGGCTCATACAGGCTTCCGAGCTTGAGACTTAATTTTCAAACATTTCTGCTCTGGTGCTTAAGGGTCATCTGCCCACTGCAACCTGCATGCAGATGAACCGCACGCTAACGTTAGTAGGAACACAAGCCCTTCCGCCACCGTCAGCCCGCCCCACCCCAAATGCAGGTCACGCCTGGAAAGGGGCTTGGAGAAACACTGACCACAGCAAAAGCCAGACACCAGTCACTTCCACCCACGCAGGGACTGTGATTGTTTGTGTCTTCTATTTTAGACCCCCCGGCTGCAATGCCTGAGCCCCTGTGTGTAGGAGATAGAAAGTAGCCCACAGCCCAGACCGGCTATTTCAAATCACAGGACAGGGCCGGGGATATAGCTCAGCAGCACAGCACCTACCTGGCAAGCACAAAGTCCTGAGTTCGATTCCCGGTACCAAAAAAAAAAAAACAAATCACAGGAAAACGGCGGCGACCATTCGTCTGGGACCCACATCCCCTGCCTTGAAAAAGCACATTAACCACTCTCCCGCTGGCCTTGAACTTGGGGAAACCAGAGAAGTTTTGCTTCTCTCTAGTCGGGGTGATTTTTACGTCCTCTCTTCTCTGAGCTGTTTTTCTGTACGACGCATACGGAGCTGCTACCCTCCCTCCAAACCCATAGGATTGTGAAGTTTAGTTGTCACCTTCCCTCCACAGTTTGCACAACGTAGCTTGCTTTTATTTTCCTTTCCACGTAGCTCTAGAGTACTGAAACAAAAGGCGGCGTTCAATTTATAGCATCCTGTTTTAGTAGTGCTGTTGCCATTTAGAAAATATGGCAATTCCAGGGCTGGAGATATTGCTCAGCGGCACAAGTGCCTGCCTGGCAAGTACAAGGTCCTAAGTTTGATTCCCCATGCAAAAAAAAAAAAAAAAAAAAAAAAAATGGGGCTGGGGATTTAGCTCAGCGGCACAGTGCCCGCCTGGCAAGCACGAGGTCGTGAGCTTAATTCCTGGCACCAAAAAAAAAAAAAAAGAAATGAAAATATGGCGACTCTTGATCACTGTAAATTAAATGAGTGCTAGCAATGAGCTGCCCTTTTTTTTTTTCTAAATGAGAAATTGGTTTTGGGTTGTTTTTTTCTTTTTGAGACATGGTCTCACTATGCAGTTCAGGCTGATCTTGAACTCTCTTTGTAGCCCAAGTTGGCCTTGAACTCAAAATGATCCTCCTGTCTCAGCCTCCCAAGTGCTGGGATTACAGGCGTGCGCCGTCATGCCCGGTGGAAATTGGTTTTAAATGCACAGTTATTTTTTAAATGCACAGTTATTTTATCTGGGCTCAGTGCAGGAGACATTATAACCTCCCTTTTATAGGTGAGAGAACTAGAAAAGAAACTATATACATATATATATATATATGATAGCTAAGATAATTATACTACTAATTTCTATTCTTGAAAAGAATGGTTTATGCTTATATTGTTTGATCAGTTTTGCATGCCTATATCTTGGAATCTGAGCAACTACTTTGAAGATAACAATACACAATATAATAACCATTGTCAATTTCCTATTATCTTGTTTTGAAATTCTGTATCGTTTTTATTGTTTCTCTTGAAAATTAAAAAAAAAAAACTATACAAGTGAGAAAAACAGAGGGTAAGCGACTGGCCCGAGGGCACGCAGCAAGCAGCAGAGGTGTGAGGCGGACTGGATCTGTCTGGATCTCTAGAACCTCTCCTGATGGGACAGGATTGCTTAGGGACCCTCCTGTACTACACTGTGGCTTGGTAGGGGGTGCGGGACCAGAAGTCCCTGTGCTAATAGAGCTTACACTCTGGTAGCGAGTTTGACAGTGGGCTCCCACATACACAAACAAATCATTCCAGAATGCATTAGGGCCCTGAAAAACTTATAAATCAGATGCGCTTATAAATGTGAGATCACAAGCCGGGTGTGGTGGTGCACGTCTGTAACCGTACCCTGCATCCTGCACTCTGGCAGACTAAAGCAGAAAGCCTGCAAGTCTGAGCTCAGTCTGGGGGATTTAACAAGACCCTGTCTCAAAATGTTTAAAAAATTTAAATTTAAAAAGGCTCAAGATATAGCTCAGTGGGAAGGCTCCGGGTCCCATCCCCAGCATTAATTAATTAAAGATTACAGAGAAGGGATACTTTTTTTTTATTTTAAAGAGAAAAAAACAGAATTTCAAAACAGGATAATAGGAAGGTAACAATGATTCATACATCGCAAATCATCTTTATATTAGTTGCTCAGAGTACAAGCTACAGGCATTTGTTCAAACAATACTAGCATAAACCTTTCTTTTCAACGAACTAAGAGAAAGTAGTATAACTATATGTGCATATATATTTTTTGCATTTCCCTTCCTTCTTTTCTCCTTTCCCCCATTCCAATTTCTCTTTCCTTTTGAACAGTTTCTTCCCACTCTACAATATCTATTGTATATTTTGGATCTTGACAATACCGTGTTTGCACATGTGCATCTCGTTTATTTCCACTTTTTGTTTTGTTTTGTTTTGTTTTTTGAGACAGGGTCTCGCTATGTACTTCAGGCTGGCCTTGCACTCACTATGTAGCCTAAAACTCACCATGGTCCTCCTGCCTCAGCCTCCCGAGTGCAGGGATCACAGGCGTGCGCCATCACACCCGTCTAGAAGGGGTACTTTAAATTAGGGACTCTAGGTAACCGTCTCCAAGGACCCCAAATTGCAGTGAAATGTGGCTGGTCTGAGAAGGGATCGAGGAGTAGTGAACGGAGCAGGGTCCCGCCCCGTCCTGCCTAGGGTGTGACGTCAAGACGCCCCTCCTGTGACGTTGGCCGCGATCACTCCCGGATCTGGCAAGGGAGGAGCCGCCCACGGTGGGCAGGCGATGACGACGAGGAAGGTGTCCAACAAGGCCTCTCCTCCCCGGCAGGCGGGTGAGTGCGCCGCCCGCGCGCTGCTGGTTGCTATGGACGCCCGGCGGTCGCGAGGGGCGGGGCTACCGGCCTCGCCGGGGTCTCCTGTGGGTGGCTTCGTGGTGGGGCGGCACCATGAAGTCGGCCAAGAAGGACTCCCGCTCCCGAGTCCCCGCTGGCAGGGTCTTGGAGCCCACCGAGAACATCAAAGGTTGGCGCCGAGTCACTCCGGCTCTCTTCGGTACTCAAGAACACAAGAGGGGAGCGCTCAGGATGGGGCTCTAAGCTGCCCCGGAGGACGCGGGTAACCCTAGGGACGTGGGAGTCAAGTGACCGAGCCGGGTGTGGTGGTACACACCCTTTCCAGCACTGGGGAGGCTGAGGTAGGAGGATAGTAAGTTCCAGCCCAGCCTGGGCGATTTAGTGAGACCCTGTCTCCAAAACGGGCTGCGGATGTAGTTCAAGGTGAAGGCCTCTGAGTTCCATCCCCAATACCAGAAAAAAATACCCCTGGGAAATGAGGTTCACGACACAGGAGCCTTAAGGATCACAGATGGACAAGGCGGAGGCTCCGGAAGGCAGGCGGCGCGGCACCAGTGTGCTTGGCCTTTGGGCTGGGGACATAGCAGGTCCAGAACGGACAGGGCTTCCGGGGGTCAGTGGCCCAGGAGATGGCTTTGAGCGGGAGGAGGGAGACTCCACCTCTAGCCTTATCTTAGGGGCGGGCAGGAAGCAAGGTCTGTGCCCTGGGTGAGGTACTTAACAGCCGGGAAGGAGTTTAAGGCCAGAGAGTCCAGGAAATCGGGTCCTTGGAGGAGGAGCTGGGGAAAGAGTGCCGGAAACAAGTGAAGGTGGCGAACGCAGCCACCTGGATGGGACGGGACGGGGCGGGGGACCCTCCCAGTCCTGCTGGGAGAACCCCTGAGAAATGCTGAATTCCGGGAGTCCTGCCTGGGACTGCCTTTTCCTACCACTTGCCCTTTAATAGGACACTTGTCCAGCTTGTTTGACCTGGAAAGTCGCCAGACAGACCTGCTTCCTGAGAGCCGCAGGCTGGCTGACCCACTGGACAAGTTCCCACTGCAGTATGCTCCTCCGTTCGGCCCTCAGGGCTGGTGCTAGGCGAGCACCCTACCACCGAGCTGCACCCGCAGCCCTGTTTCTGTCTGTCGAGGGCCTGCGTGCGCAGGCGCTGTGCAGGGTCCCAGGGGCGTCTTAGTCACTGTGTTCACCTCTGGGACGCAGTGCCGGACACCTGCCGCTTGGAGGAGGAGACGTTTATTTCGGCTCACACTTCGTCATAGACCCCTGGTACAGAGAGCCCTTGCAGTGCCCACTGAGGCCAGGAAGTTTATATTTGCCATCCCATGAAAAGTTACTGGAATTCAAGTGAGTTCATTCCAGTCTACCACTTCCAGAGCAAACCATGGCAGGAATAAAGACACAAAGGCATATCTGCAGTTATGGGGAGCCAAGGGGTCCCTAAGTCCAGCCATGATGATGGCTAAGCGGAAAAAAGGCCTCGACAAGGGCCAAACCTGGGTTTTATTAATTTGTGAAGAAAGGAGTGGCTTGAGGATGAGTGACTGTGAGAATGGTGGGAAGTAGGTGAGCGCCTTGAGCTGGGCCAGGTAGGAGGCCTGACCTCTGTGATATGCAGAAAAAAGCCGGGCATGGTGGCACACACCTATAATCCCAGTGCTCAGGAGGCTGAGGCAGGAGGATCGTTGCTAGTTCGAGACCAATCTGGGCTACAAAGTGAGCTCGAGAGACTGAGGATTTAGCTCAGCAGCACAGCGCCTGCCTGGCAAGCGCAAGGTCGTGAGTTTGATTCCCGGTACAGGAAAAAAAACAAAAAACAAACAAACAAAAAAAGTGAGCTCAAGGCCAGCCTGAATTGCATAGCAAGATCTTGTCTCAAAAAGAAAAAAAAAAAAAAGCAGAAGGATATGCAGAAGGAATAATCTGCATAACACAGCTGAGGTTGTATCTAATGTGTTGGGGTTGGTGCTTCCGTTCTGATGTGTAATCTTTTACGCTGTGGAAGTCATAGCCTCTTATCTTGAGGCTCCGTCCTAGTGGACAGCGTGGAGCACGGCTGTCCATCTTGCCTTGCCCCAGTTCACACATGGGAGCTACAGGGGCTGGGGAAACACTCTTCTGTCGTCTGTGCTTCAAAGACTACATATCAGCACCTCGGCTGGACTGATGTACATTGCTTAAAGTCAGCTGAAGGGATAAGGAAAAGTCCTAGCCAGCTCTGAACACATCAATACATGGAAATAGGATCAAGCTCAGCCAAAATAGAGACAATCACTCTTCCTTCAAGGACAGTCTCCGAGGTGGTCCTCCACACCCTGGCTCCAAGGCAGGACAGCGTGGTGGCAGGGCCTGGTGGAGGGACACTGCTCACTTCCTGGAAGACAGGAAGCAGAGGGCCAAGGGAGGAAGCGGGGAGGAGATAAACCCTTCCAGGCCCCGCCCACAGAGACCTGCGTCTCCCATCAGACCCTACCTGGGAGCAGCTTTAACACACGCGTCAGCCAATCAGCCAGACACAGGACCCTTTGGGGGCCGTTGTACTTCTGAACGTGAATGAAGGGTGTCAGTGTTAGGTGTGTGACCCAGCCCCTCAGAGACTCCGAGTCTGGGCAGACCCAGAGATAAAAGTGAATGGGTAGGTGGTGCAGGTGCTAGGTGCTATTTGAGGGGCTGGGAGGCTCCGAGCACCTACCGAGGCCTGGAGTGGTACAGTTAGGGAGGAGGGGGTCCTGAGAAAGCTGACATTTATGGCAGAAGAAAAGGAGAGGGAGGAAAAGGAAGGGGAGAAAGAGAAGCAAAGGGGGAGGGGCAAGAGGGTGCTTCTGCAGAGGCTCCCGGGCCCGTGGACCTGAGAGCTGAGGGGGCTTGCAGGCAGGCGGCCCGGCTGTGCGGGGTCGGGGCGTCTGGGGCCCTGCAGGCCCTGGGGTCCCAGCCGCAGCTGCTCAGCAAAAACTCAGGGTGTGAGATGGCCCGGCCTGGAGTCAGTGGGGTTCCCTGTGAGACCTGGAAAAGTGACAGGAGCCTGTGGCGTTCGGTGTGGCTTTCTTTTATGCTTCTTCACAGTGCAAAAGGCTGGTGCTGTTTCATGACATATTTTTTAATAGTTAAGAGAGAGAGGAGCAAAATAATCTGGCTTCCTTTCCAAGGGCAGTCAAGGGCTTTTCCAGCCACTGCTCCTTGCTCACCTTATTTCTGCGCGATCCTAATCAGATTTGAACTTTCTGCTGTAAACAAATCAATGGAAGATTTTTCACTGGGTTTATTTTTAATAAAGGGAAAATTAAACAGCCCTGAGGTTAAGAACATGCCCCAGAGTGAGGCAGGTGAAAGTGAAGGGTTCAGCGGGTATGAGCCCTTTCTCCTGAACTTCCTCAGGGAAGCCCACAGAATGGTCAGATGCTGATGTCTTGTAATCTTGTCCATGGACTTGGAATCATGAGCAGAAAAGGCAAGTGAATTCAGTGACCAGCAGGGCATGGTGGCACAAGCCTGTAATCCCAGCACTTGGAAGGCTGAGGCAGGAGGATTGCTGTGAGTTCTGAGAGCAGCCTGGACTACAGGGTGAGACCCTGTCTAAAAAAAAAAAAAAAAGGAAAAAGAAAAGAAAAAAGAATTCAGTGACAGGAAACCTGTTTAGGGGCCTGAGAGTCCCAGGTTTCTCCTTGGTTTTGTTGCTAGGAAACAGAGAAGCCTTCCCATTGTCCAGACCCATCCCTCTTCCCTGCCAAATAAAGCGCTGTCCTGGTTGAAACGGTCCCTGCCTTGGTTCTCCCAGTGTACCAGAGGCTCATGCCTGTAATACCAGCACTGAGGAGGCTAAGGCAGAATTGCCTCTCTGCAATTTTGAGGGCAACCTGAACTATGTGGCAAGACCCTATCTCATAAAAACCAAACTGAACCAAACCAAATGAGAAACAAGCCTTGAGCCAGGTTTTTCTTGTCTCCATGGTTCCCTCCAGTAGAGGGGTCACCTCACTGCCGTGGGCCAGGGGCTGGTCCCTTTGACCCCTCAGCTGTCAGGATGAATGAAGAAATGCCAGCAGTACTCAGCTTGGGTTCTCTTTACCTTTTCTTTTCTTTTTTTTTTTTTTTTTTTTTTTTTTGAGACAGAGTCTCCCTATGTATTCCAAGCTGGCCTTGAACTCACTGAAGAGCCCAGTATAGCCTCGAACTTTTGGTAATCCTCCTGCCTCAGCCTCTTGAGTATTGGGATCACAGGCATGTGCCACCATGCTAAAATGCATGCCAAGCTAAAATGCATATCTCATGTTTTGGTTTTGTTTTATTTTTGTAGGCAGGGTCTTGCTATCTAGTTCAGGCTGGCCTGGACTCACTGTGTAGCCCAGGCTGGCCTCAAACTCACGGCAGTCCTCCAGCCTCACACTCCTGAGTGCTGGGGTTACAGGCATGCACCACTATACTGGCTGCCTATTTCATTTTAATGATTATTTCATTCACCGGACACGGCTCAGTAACGGAGCATTTATTGCACTGTATTCAAGAGGACAGACTCAGAGAAACATCAGGCCGGTGCCCCTGGCTGCTTCCACTTTAAACATGAGAAAGTGGCTTCCGTGTCACCAAAAGAGATGGGAACATTGGAATCTGCAGTGGGGTTGAAGGTCTGTACTGGCCCGAGGTGATTCTGTACCCACTGGGGAGAAGCACACAGTGGAGGTGTTTAATCCCGTGGGAAGACACAGGCCAACCAAGGTGACAGGAAAAACAACGTCCTGGAGGCAGAGGTGACACCAAAACATTTATAAATGTGGGCCTTCAGCTGGTGCCAGCTGAAGGGTTTGATCTTGTGGGCTGTGCCAGCTGATGGGTTTGTGTCAGAGGGAGGTGAAATTGAAGGCCAAGGCTGTGTCGGCATGCACGGGGCAGATCAGCTCTCCCCGCACGCACGCGCACGCGCGTTTGTGTGTGTGTGTGTGTGTGTGTGTGTGTGTGTAATAGACCATGGCCCCAGGCAGAATTTAGAGTTCTGTTTGGAAAGATGGGGCTTTTTTTTTTTTTTTTTTTTCTTTTTGAGACAGGGTCTCACTATGCAGTTCAGGCTGGCCTTGAGCTTACTTCATAGCACAGCTGGTCTCAAACTCACAACCATCCTCCTGCTTCAGCCTCCCAAGTGCTGGGATTACAGACATGCGCCACCACTCCTGGCCCAAGATGGGGGCTTTTTTTTTTTTTTTTTTTTTTGCCAGCAACTATTTCCTTTAAAAATAGTTTTGATTTTGCCCGGAATGGTGGTGTGGTGCAGGAGTGCAATCCCAGTACACCAGGAGGCTGAGGCAGAAGGATGGCAAATTCAAGCCCATTTGGTGATTTAGGGAGATCGTATCTCAAAATATAAAAAGGGGTGGGATGTAGCTCAGTGTGAAGGCCTTAGGTTCAGTCCCTAGTAACACACACACACACACACACACACACACACACAGTTTGATTTTGTTAACCAAAACCCCTGCCTAGATGCTTTTAGTGACATTCTCTCTTTAAAAGTTGAGAATTTGAGCCAGGCGTGGTGGCACAACACCTGTAATCCCAACATTCTGGAGGCTGAAGCAGGAGGCTTGGTGCTGAGTTTGAGAACCAGCCTGGACTATATAGTGAGGTCAAGACCAGCCTGGGCTACATAGCAAAACCCTGTCTCAAAACAAAACAAAAGGAAAAAAAAATTCAGGTACTTTGAGAAGCGGCAGAAGAAACTAGATTGAGCTTTAAAAGCCTTGAGGCCAGGGCTTAGGTTTTGTTGCCGTTGTTCTGTGCCATCCGGAACCAGGGGGAGAAGGCCGGGGTCCCAGCCAGCAGAAGGAGAGGCACACTGCCCGGCGAAGCCCCCCGAAGTCAGGCAGGGCTCAGTCTGGCAGGGGAGGAGCCAGCCACAGTCCTGTGTCCTCCCATCCCTGCTTCCTGCAGCTATGGGGGCGACGCGGGTCTGATCCCTCCCCGCTTCCAGCCTCCAGCACAGTTGTTATCTGTTCCTTTGTTATAGTGTAGCCCCTAGTCTTGCCCCCTAGCCCATCTTGTGCCAGGCCTCTGCCCAGGGGGAAAAGGCCGGGGTCCTTCACCCTGGCACAGCCCAGTGAGCTGGGCACGGTGTGGCTGCCAGATTCCGCCTCCATGAGCTCCAGCGACATTTCCGGCCTGACTTCCCTTCACCCCCTCGTGCGTGGTTTAACCATCGCCTCCTTAGGAAGCCTTCCCTGTCCTCTCCGTAGGTGAGGCTGGGACCCCTGGATGTCTTGAGTGTCACTGGCTCAGACCCCTGGGTGTGTGCCCTTTGTAGGCTGAGATGCTGCCTTGTGTCCCCAGAACATAGCACCGTGCTTCATAAGCCAGCATTAGTCGATGAAATAATATGAAACAAAGGGTCTGTGGAGAATGTGCTATTTCCCACAGAGCATTTGTTTTTTTCACCAGTGTCTTAAGAACTCAGTACCTTCACCCCGAACCAGAGTGCCAGCACCAGAAGAGGCCAGGGAAAGGTCCAGTCCAGTTGTCCCAAATCACTGCCCACCACGATTTAAATTTTGTTTTATTTTTTTAAGACAGAGTCTCAGCCATTGTGGTGGCACACTCCTGTAATCCCAGTACTTGGGAGGCTGAGGCAGGAGGATCACTAGGAGATCGAGGCCAGCATGGGCTACCTAGTTAGTTCAGGGGCAGCCTGAACTATACAAGGAGACACTGTCTCAAAAGAAAAAACAAAACAAAAGATAGAGTCCGTTATGTAGTCCAGGCTGGCCTTGAACTCATTGTGTAGCCCAGGCTGGCCTCAAACTTGCAGGGATCTTCCTGCCTCAGCCTCCTCAGTGCTGGGGTTTCAGGCGTGGGCTGCTATACCCAGCTTTCCAGGATTTAATTTTTTAAACTCAAGGGAGTTGATGCTCTGGCTCCACATAGTAGCCGGGGAGCTATATTTGTAAAACTCCTCCTGAAGATTCTGAGACAGACACTGGACTGGTATTTGGGGAACACTGATGTAGTTCAGCTGCTTCTTTTTTAAGAGTGGGAGATGGAGGCCTAGGGAGGTACAGTCTTGCTTTTCTGGGCTGTCCAGTGTATAAGTAGCCTGCAGGGCAACCTCTTTGGATCTCAGTTCCAGCGACAGATGCCTCAGTCACTGTGTCAGTCCAGCGACAATGGGTAGGGGACCCTCAAGAGAGACCTCCCATAGCCCAGCAAGGTGCCACCCAGACCCCCACCAGGCTGTCCAGGCAGCCAGTTCTGCTCCTCTATGCACTCTAATATGGATTTGTCCATTTTATTTATTTATTTACTTATTTTTGGAGACAGGGTCTTGCCATGTAGCTCAAGCTGCCTTGAACTCAGTGAGTAGCTTAGGTTGGCCTCAGACTCACAGGGATCTTCCTGCCTCAGCCTCCCACGTGCTGGGATTACAGGCATACGCTACCACGTGCAGTCTTGTCGTCTTTTTGTTTTTTTGGTTTTGGTTTTGGTTTTTTTCTGGTACCGGGAATCGAACTCATGACCTAGCGCTTGCCAGGCAGGCGCTGTGCAGCTGAGCTAAATCCCCAGCCCCCTTGTCCTCTTATTTTTATGTATATATACACAGCAACTTTCCTACATAAAAACTTGCAATTGTTTTGTTTTTCAGAAAAGAAGCGGACAAAGATACCTGAGCAACCCACACCCCCCATTCAGGAAGAGCCTGAGCCCGTCAGCAACGTGCTGCAGGGCGATGACATTCTCGCCTTGGCCGTTAAGAAGGAGGACTTGAAGAAGGTGAGCTCGGACCCAGGTTTCCTGGGCCCTGCCGGCTGTGTTGCCTGGAGCGTCAGCCACACCCCGTCTCTCCGCTGGTTCTCAGGCTCTCGAGGGCATCTGTGTCCATGGAAAAACACCAGCTCTTTCCACTTTCACATCTGCACGAATTCATCACATTGTTTGCACATTTCTGAGATCTCTGTGGCATCACGTGAGAGAGCGAGGTATCTCGCTTCCCAGAGAGGCAAGCACCCCATCATTCCCATTTTAGAGATGAGAAAATGAGTGTTTATTTGTTTGTGTTACTGGGAATTAAACCCACAGCCTTCCCACTGAACTGCATGCCAGCCTTTTTTTAATTTTAAATTTTATTTTGAGGTAGGGTCTTGCTAAATCACTAAGTTATCCAGACGGGGCTCAGGCTTGCGATCCTCCTGCCTCAGCCTCCCAGAATGTTGAGATTACAGGTGCGTGCCACCATGGCCAGCTGAAAAGCGAGTTTAGGCAGCCGAGGTGGAGATGTGGCTAGAACTGAGTTCTAACTCCTTGCTGTACCTGCCAGCCACTCCCCACCTGAGCTCCTTGGAGGCTGCCGCTGCTATTTTCTCTCCCCAGAATGCACCTACATCTTGTATGTGTTTCACAGTCGTTTCCTCAGGGAACATATGGGCTGAGCGGGGGAAGCAGCCACGCCAACCTCCAGGAATCCCAGCAGGGGCTGGCACAGAGGAGATGGGTGCTCCTCCTCCTCCTCCTCATTCTCCTCATTGCAGGTGCAATCTCCCTCCGTTTTCTTTTTAGCAACACGTCCCTCGCCCTACTGCAGACAACCCTGTCATTACCCAGAAAGTTTTCATCCGTAAGCTGAAACCCAAGGATTCTCAGAAGAAGATCTGCCACTTAGTAGCTCATCCTGCAAACCCAGATGCGGCCGAAAAGCCCCTAGACTACTCAGGTAGGGCCGGTCTTCATCGGAAAGCTGCCCCGTTCGACGGTTTTCATCCTCCACCTGCAGTTCCCCTTTTGCTGTCTCTCTCTCTCCCCTGCAGGTCCTAGCGACAGCTTTGACGGCCGGGACCAGATCCTGCCTCACCACATCTTGGGGACTCTGCAGGACTTCAAGAGAATTGCACTTGCTCAAGGGAACGCCCAGGTTTGTTTGTACAGAGCTGCCTGGCCGAAAGCAGCTACAGAGGGCATTTTATTCCACCACCTACGGAGTCAAGTAGGGTCACATGGGGAGGAAGATGGCTTCTCACTGGTCCCCAGGCGGCCTTCCCATCATGCAGTGCTTCTCTGTCCTCGGAGCCTCCTCTTCCATGGTGTCAGGGTGCCTGGGGTGGCATACAAACGGCTCAGTCAGCCAGGGCAAAGGTGCCACTTAACATCAGTTGTGAGGCAGAGTCAACACTCAAAGATGCTCACCAAAATCTGAGAGTCAGTGTCCCCCGGTCCTGTGATTTACTGTCATCCGCCACCTGCAGGTCCGAAGGAGCGTTCTCATTGGAGCAGGACACTGGGGGATGCAGGCCTGGCTGGGCTGCAGTTCAGATCCCCCTGCCCAACACCCACCTTGTGCTTTCCAGCTGGCTGAGCTGATATGCACCCCACCTAGCCTCATGACCCTCATCTCAGCTACTGAAGAGCCAACACCAAAGGCCCCAAAGGAGAAGCAGCAGCCCCAGGCCCCTCCGCCTCAGCACAACTTTCTAACACACTGGCAGTGGCACGTGGCCCTGCGGAAGAAGCAGCAGGAAGCCCTCAGCAGTGAGCAGAGCTTGGGGGGCCCTTCTACCTGGCCTCCATCTGGCACAGAGGCTCTGATTGGCATTTTTGCTCTCCCCCACCTGTCCTTTGTGCTCCTCTGGGTGTGTAATCCCAGCATTGTGGGAGGCTGAGGCAGAAGGACTGCAAGTTTAAACCCAACCTGGGCAGTTTAATGACTCAAGAAGACCTAGTCGCTTACATAGCACTAGGAATCCCAGACCCTTTGCTAGCCCTTTAGTGACTTAGGGAGACCCCCGTCTCAAAAATAAAAGAATACAGGGCTGGGGATGGAGCTCAGTGGGAATGTCCCTGGTTTAATCCCCAGTACTGAAAAACAAAAAGCAAAACCACCGCCTTGGTGCTGCAGTGCAGGGCACCGGGGCCCTGGGTCCCGACTTGGCCAGGCAGTGCATTCTCGCCCCTCGCTCCCCAGAGCACCTGAAGAAGCCGGTGAGTGAGCTACTGATGCACTCGGGCGAGACCTACAGACAGATCCAGGAGGAACGGGAGTGCATAGACCGCTGGCTGCCAACGGCGCACGACGGCAAAGTGAGCATGGCCGGTGCCGAGTGCCCTGGCAGAGCTGCGGTGCAGGGCAGGCGTGTGGACCGGGGGTGGCTTCTCATGGCTGCACAGCTGGGGAGGAAGCAAGCTCACCTTTGCAAAGCACTGTGAACCACTCAGGGCCTTCACAGAGCTCTGTCGTTGGGTGTCAGAGGATGGGTTCATTTAATAACAGCCAGGGGTGTGGGTCATGGTGATCGACTTGATGCTGAGTGACTGCCAGAGCTCCCTCTGTGTGCCCCCCGCCAGGACTACAAGGAGACCAGTGCGTTCTGGAGTCCCCTGGAATACTTGGGAGATGAGAGGACGGGTTTGCTCATCACCAAGACAAAAACTCAGCGTGGCCTGGTGGAACCCATCACGTGTGTCAGGAAGCCTTGCTCCATCCAGGCGGAGACCGGTGAGCAGAGCTGGAAACCAACTGGCTTTGGCGCTTGCCCAAGGCACAGGCCGAGTCGTGGGCATCAGCTTGGCCTGTTGGGACCAGATCCTGGCTCTCTGTGGCCCTGGGCAAAGCCCCAGAGCCTTCCTGAGATCCAGCTCTGCTTTAGTAAAATGGCAACAGAAAAGGCCAAAAGGCAGCCTTGGGCCATGCACAGCTGTCAACACCTGGAATGTGGCTCAACCGCATGCCGGCAGTGTAGACTGCACCCTGGGTTTCAAAGACTGGTTTGGAGGAATGGATTAATAATTTTTATATCCGTTACATGTGGGGATGGTGATCGTTTTGATGCATTGAGTTACATAAGCCATATGAAGTGAGTTGTACCTCTTGTTACCTTTTTAACGTAGCGTCTAGAAAGTTCGCAGTGACGCACATGGCTTGCATGTGCGGCTTGTGTTATGCTGTGTGTGGGGAGCCCTGCTTTGGTGCTGCCAGCTGCCTGGGTCCAGGTCCCAGTGTACTAGGTTTCTGAACACCACTGAGCACTGTGTTTGACTCCCCTGGCCCATGATTCCTCATCTGTAGACCACACAGAGGGATGGGGAGTTAAATGAGACGTGATATTTATTAAGGCGTTCAGGCTCAATAAAACGCTGCCCAGCCCTGGGAGAGGTTGAGACAGGAGGATCACAAGTTTGAGTTCCACCTGGGTGATTTAGCAAAACTCTGTCTCAAAATGAAAAATAAAAAGGGCTGGGGATATAACTCACTCCTGGATTCAAACTCCAGTAATGGAAAAGAAAAATGTAGCGCGGTCGTCATTTTTAATGGTGGCCCGTAGATTTGGTGTTTGGAAACTAGTTTTGTGGGAATCCTATGTAGGGCTCTGAGCATATGGGGAGAGGACGGGGATCTAGAGGCCGCTCGAGGCTGTATTTGTATCCTTGTCGGAGACAAGGGGTGCTGACAGTGTCCCTGGGGCAGTGGGTGGGAGGGGGGCGTGGCAGTCACTGGTGCTGAGGCCCTTGCCACCCCCAGGGTTACCTGCCCCGAAGGATTCTGGGTACCGCCGCGCCTGGGACCGCAGTCTCTTCCTGATCTACCGGCGCAAGGAGCTGCAGAGCCTGATGGCCGAGCTGGACTTCAGCCAGCGGGTTAGCGGGGCCTCATGATCCGGGCTGAGGGTCCTCAGGGTCGTGCGTGCCTTTGGTCGGCTCACCTGTCCTCTCCGTGTCCCTCCGAGGATATTGATGGCCTGGAGGTGGTGGGCCGAGGGCAGCCCTTCTTCTCCATCACTGTGGAGGACAGCTCAGCGTTTGAGAGGAGCCAGGAGACTGCCTCGGAAGACACAGCTTGCCAGTGAGTGGAGCGACAGCGGCCCAGGAGTGTGAGGGGCAGGTTTCCCTCCCAGCCGTCGGCACAGCGGGACCTGTCTAGATTTCCCGGCCGCATGTCTGTGGGCCCCACCTGGCCTCCAGAACCCCAAGGTGTTGGTTTCCCCTACAGAGACTTCTGGGCTGGTCCAGGCGACGCAGCCCCCATGCCGATTCTTGGCCCTTCTCTGCTGTTCTGTGGGAAGCCAGCTTGCTGGATCAGAGGCCGCAACCCCCAGGACGAGGTAAAGCCGCCTTCACCGTCACCCTGGGGAAGGGCCTCCCAGGCGGGTGCCGCCCAAGGTGACCTTGGCAGTCACAAGGAGCCAGCGTGCTCTCCTGTTTGCATTTTTATCTGGTCACACATTTGGTGCGACTGAAAACGGCAACAGCAACATTACCTCAAGCCGGAATAAAATCACACTAAAAAGAGTGTCACAAGCTGCCCAGTTTGTACCTAGTCCCCAAGCAGGTAGCTAGGCAAACTCTCACACAGAGAGGGCCTTAAGAAGTTCAAAAATAGTCCTCAGATGCCGAGGAGCGGAAATGTGTGTTCATTTTCTTACTATTGATAGTAACCTCGGAGACAGCCACGTTGGGGGAATGACACCATTCCAAGGGGGCCAGGCCCTGGAGGCCGGGGAACCAGGAGACTTTTAGTGCTAAATCCAGACAAGTCACAAGCAAGCAGGGATGAGCTGGTCACCTTCTGGCCGGGATAGTTCTCATACCTGCTCCCTGCTCAGAGCCAGGTCGGAATTGGAGTGCGGTTGACCTTCGAAACCCTCGAAGGGGAGAAGACGTCCTCAGAACTGACCGTGGTCAATAACGGCACGGTGGCCATTTGGTATGACTGGCGGCGGCGGCCCCAGCCAGACTCTTTCCAGGACTTGAAGAGAACCAGGATGCACCGGTTCTATTTCAACAACCGGGAAGGTACCCCAAAGCTGCCCTCCCTTCGCTTCCTGGGTTTGTCAACATCCGGGAGACACCAGCTTCTACCTAGCGCCTGGCTCCCCCAAGCTTGAGCCCTTCTCCCACCCTGCCCCCCCAGTTCTCCTGTGAAGTGTGTGGTCTCATTGCCAGACAGGGTCCCAGAGGCCCGAAAAACAAAGATGGGGAGCCAACTTCCCTCACCCCATCCGTGGGACAGGTTGAAGATTTGCTGGCTTCCATCACATAGAAAGAATTTTCAAGATGCCTCAGGAAGAGGCATAAAGGATTTATTAGACAGAATTTTAAAAGCACCCACTTGAAAAAATAGAGTGTCAGGTGTTGAGAGAGGGGCACGTTATTTGTTGGACCTGGAAACATTTGTGTTTCTCTTGAGGGGGGCAAAATTATGGAAAAGATGGCTCAGCCCCCAGCAGGATAATTAGTGAGTCCAGCTTGCTTGCTATCTTTTCTTTCTTTCTTTCCTTCTTTCTTTTTTTGTCTTTTTGAAACAGGTCTCACTATGCAGTTCAGGCTGGCCTTGAGCTCACTTTGTAGCCCAGGCTGGCCTCAAACTCACAACAGTCCTCCCGCCTCAGCCTCCTGAGTGCGGGGATTACAGGCTTGTGCCACCACACCTGGCTGTTTTTTTTCTTAAAGATGGATAATAAATAATCTTTGAATTCTCTGAGTTTGTTCCTTTAGGGCTGGGGATTTAGCTCAGCGGCACAGCGCCTGCCTGGCAAGCGCGAGGTCGTGAGTTCGATTCCAGGTACCAGCAAAAAAAAAAAAAAAAAATTTGTTCCTTTATCATAAGATCACCTTCCCACACTTTATTTTCTCAACTAGGCTAACTGATGGACTTCCAGTGCCCTTAAGGACTTTAGGGTGTGAGGGGACAAGGATGGAAAGCAGTATAATTAACCGAGGAAACGCCCATATGGATAGGCATGGGTAGGTGTGACTGTGTCCTGGAAGTTGTAGTCTTAAAAGTACAGGAGTTTTTTTTGTTTGTTTTGAGACAGGGTCTCAGTATGTAGTCCAGGCTGGCCTTGAACTCACTATGTAGACCAGGCTGGCCTTGGATTTGTGGTGATCCTCCCGCCTCAGCTCCTAAATGTTGGAGCTATAGGCATGCACCACCATGCCCCGTGAAAGTACAATTTTTAAGTTGTGATTTTCCTTGTCTGTTTTCCACCTATCTTTACTTCTGTCCTACCTCAGTCTACATTCTTGCATCTGTTTAGAGAATGAGGACCACTCGGGAACATAGGCTGGTATCCGACTTGTTCTGGGGCACTGTTACCTACATTGCACGGGCCTGGGGCGCGGATGGCCACCTGTCCCCGCTTGCCTGGCACTCCCCCAGCTTTAGCACTCAAAGTCACCCGTTCCAGGAAATCTCTCAGTCCTGGGCACACCGGGATGGTTGGTCCCCAGACCTGGGCTGCAGTTCAGTGGAGCTTGGGGCTCAGGTAACTTTCTGCATGCAGGCTTAGGGCTTGTCTGGCTTCTCCCTCACCGCTCTCTCTGGCCATCTCAGGTGTGATTCTGCCCGGAGAAACAAGGACCTTTACCTTCTTCTTCAAGTCTTTGAATGCCGGGATCTTCAGGGAGTCCTGGGAGTTCCGAACCCACCCCACCCTCCTGGGTGGCGCCCTCCTGTTGGTCACCCTGCAGGCAGTGTCCCTGACCCAGGACATTTTTAGGGATGAGAGGAAGTTGCTGGAGGTGAGGGACCCAAGGCCTCGGCCCGTGGGGACACCGGGTAGGTTACCCGGGTGTTCTTGGCAGTGCTGTGGGGATCTTATTTCCCCCTGCCCAGGGAGGGAAAACTTTTCACAAACAGGCAACCGAGCTTGTTCAATAAACGCTTCCGGCTTCCAGTGCTTTGGGATGTAGCAGATGGGGCGGGCAGGTTTGGGAGGGCAGCAGGCAGCCCCACCAGGCGGGGCCCCCACTGAGCTGGAAAGGAATGCAGAGTCCTGCGATTCAGGTGGCAGGAAAGTGCCTCCCAAGCAGATCATGTGACCCACGGCTCTACTTTGTTTCCTGTTGGCTGCTACTGAGCAGTGGAGGGACGTTTCACAGACACGACTTCCACACCAGAGGCGACAATGTAATAGCCCGTCTCCACACCCTGTGTGTAGCTGATGCCCCAGGAACTGCCACCCCTCTCCCCCGTGGCTGTCCTAGGCGGTGCTTTGCGGGATTCCGCGGGGAGCTGTGTGGCTTTGTTCCCTGAGGCCCCAGACCCAGCCAGCTGTTTGAGCTGGGCCTCAGCCAGGGTGATCAAAGGTGATTTTAGCAAACGTCAGGCCCCCTAAACTCGCTGACTGTAGGGCTGATGCCGCATGAGATGTCCTTCCGCTGGGTTTCCGTGGCACTGACTGCCCACTGACTGGCCACGGTTTGGCCAGGCTGAGTGAAAGGTCACTGCCCTTCTCAGCGGCGCCCAAACCGTGCACGCCGCCCCCTCCTCCTGATGGGGGTGGATGCTAACTCGTGACCTCCAGGTCCCATTCCAGAGCCTCTGTCCTTTGGGCTGCTTCCAGGGAACGAGGATGTTTGGAGAGAGAGAGACACCCAAAGGCTTCTGCATCTTGGGAGAGGTGTGCGTGTGTGTGAGAGAGACAGATGATGGCAGAATCTGACCCTATGGAGGTGCAAGGCTTCCAGGGGTCTGGCCCCCCTCGAGGACACAGGGCGCTGGGAGCCTGGGGTGTCATCATGTGCCACTTTCCCTTCCCCAGAGCAAGCTGGCTGCCCATGAGTCGGTCGCCGTAGTGCACCGCGTGCTGCAGGAGCTGCTGAGAGGGATCCTGACCCCGGAGCGCACGCCGTCCCCTGTGGATGCTTACCTGACAGAGGAGGACTTGTTCCACCATAGGAACCCCGGGGTACAGGCTGCATGCCGCGCGTTCCCCTTTCCGCAGCAGCCCTATGGGATTGGAGTGCTGTTTTCACCCTCTTGTTACCCTGAAGACACCCAGGCTCAGAGAGGTTAAGGGTCGTAGCCAAGATAGCCAGCAAGTAGAGGCTTGATGGGAGCAAAGCGGCACAAACTCCTTCAAACCCAGTCTTGTGTTCTTTCTTTCTTTTTTTTTTTTTAGTTTTTTTTCAACAGAGTCTCCCTATGTAGTTCAAGCAGGTCTCAAACTTGTGGCAATCTTCCTGCCTCACTCTGCCACGTGCTGGCATTACAGGCATGCATCACCAAGCCCAGCAAAACCCAGTCTTTCTCGGCAGCCCCAATGCAAAATCAGCTTTAATTGGAAATGCTCGGCTTGAAGGGGAAGTGGGAAGCCCCTGCCCCGCCTCACTCCTAGTCAGTACCTGCCGCAAAGGGGAAATGGTAGCTGACTACCGTGGGCTCAGAGTGCGCCTGCCAGCCTCCCCCTCACTGTCATCTCCTGCCTCTGCTGCAGCTGCGCTACCAGCACCAGGTGGTTCAAGGCCTGCACCAGCTGTGGAACCAGTATATGATCCTGCCCCTCAAGGACAGGGAACCCCGGCCCAGCCAGGAGGAGCCCCTGAGCTCCAGGACCCAGGCAGCCTCTCCGGAGAAGGCTCCCGCGAATGCCGAGCTCCAGCTGCCCCAGCAGGAGAGCAAGTCCCACAGGGACTCCCGCCATCCCTCCCTGTCCCAGAGGTCCGCAGCAGGGACCAAGAACACCTTGCGCAGGAGCATCATGGAGGAGATCCTGGTGGAGGAGGGCCCAGACGTGGAGAGCGCCACGAGCCGCTCAGAGCCGGATGGCTTCTCCCTGCCGGAGTGGAGCCTCTGCCTGGAGGACTTCAGAAAGGTGCCCCCGGACTCGGAGGGGACTGGTGGACAGCTGGGTGCCGAGCTCAGAGCTAACAAGGGGTAGCCCAGCAGCCCCATGCACAGAGACTAATCCTCCTGAGGGCCAGAGAAAGCAATCTTTTAGGTCACATCTCTTTTTCTGGGGTTCCCAGGTGTCTGTGGTACAGGAAGGGCTTCCTCTGGGACCCTGGCAAACCTTAGAGAAGGGTTCATGGGTACAGACCTCCGAGGCAGGTGCCTGGCCCCACAGAAGGTGCCCTGGACAAACTCCACGGCCCCTGGTCCCGCACCACCTGCCCCATATCACCATGCCCATCAGTAGAGGACAGAGGGACCTTTGGAGTCCTGCAGCAGAGCAGTTGCCCATGGCGCCCGTGACCCTGACCAGGCCGTGATGACCCTCCCTGAGGAGCACGAGAGAGAGGACGCACTCATCAGGCTTAACAGGGCAGCCCTGGAGCTATGCCCAGAACAGAGGCCGCTGCAGCCCGACCTCCTGTACCAGCTGTGGTAGGTGCCCCCCACTCCCAGCCCCGGCTTCCCCTCTGTGTTGTCAGCCTTTGCATTCCACGGCCCAAACTCCCTTGTGTACACCTGGGGGCCTTTTGCAAGGCTCAGCCCTTCCCTTAGGGCAGGCCCCACATCCGGCCGTGGCTCTGTGCAGGAGTCTGAGGCCGGCGTGAGATTGTGACCTCTGGCCTAGGCCAGCTTCTCTTGGAAAGCCAGATGCCATCTGAGCAGCAGGGAGGATGCTGGCTGGTGGTGCTCCCGTGGTAGTTTCGTGGTAGTTTCATGGTAGTTCCTGGCACGGGGGACCTGGGCCTCTGCAGGTTCAAGGGCACGTGAGGAACGATGGCTTTTCTGCAAGGTCTCGCCCTCTAGTTTGCAGCTGTGGCGAGATGTGATCGACAGCCTGGTGAGCCATTCCCTGTACCTGAGGGTGCTGCTGGGCCTCCCAGAGAAGGAGACCGTGTACATGTTTGTCCCGGAAGAGCAAGGTCAGAGCCTGGGCAGCCACACCTTTGTGTCATCTTTCCCAGCCCCCTGCCCTAGGAGCTATGGGGTCTTGGCCGTTTGTTACCTTGTGGTGGGTGCCCTGCTAGGTGGAGCCCGTGGAGCTCCAGCACCCTGCCATCTGCTGCCAAGATGTGGGACCCTGAAGCTGCCCTAGCAACCCCCTTAGTGATCCCCACTTGTTTTGCGGGTGGAATTTAAAAGACTTTTCCATGGCCGTGCACAGGGGATAGGACTGGAAGGAGAATCTGGACTAGCTCTGGTTTTTTGAGACAGGGTCTCGCTGCTATGCAGTTCAGGCTGGCCTTGAACTCACTCTGTAGTCCAGGCCGGTGTGGAACCCGGTCTCTTGTCCCTCACCTGAGGCAGCCTGTAGGGGCTCTGGGCTGTCCCCTTCACTCTTTCATCGCAAGCCTGGGATGTCAGTGAGGCTGCCGGGTGCCGTGCTTGCTGCTCCTCCCTTAGATCAGAAGTCACTTCCCACCACGGAAATGAAGGCAACGGCCGGGAGAGTCGGGAAAGAGGAACGGAAAGGGACCGCCCAGGAGAAGAAGCAAGGGGGAGTCCGAGATAAAGACGACAAAAAAGGAGCAAAGACTCCCGTGAAAGAGGCATGCGGGGCCGGTCGGGGGCTCAGGGCCCTGGAGGGGCTTCAGCAGGGGGCAGCGGTGCCAGAGAGTTGCTATGCAGAGCGCCCAGGGCCCACCTCGGGAGCCATGGGGACTCCATTTCCCCAAGCAGGACCGTGCGAACAGCAAAAAGCAGAAGGCAAAGGAGGACAAGAAGGTAATCAAGTCTACAAGTCGCGACAGGCTCTCCTTGGAAGACCCCACGCCTGACAGTGTCAGGACGTCTCAGGAGCCCATCGATCCCCTGGTCATGGAGAAATACATGCACCGGCTGCACACGGAGGTGCGGGAAGAGTTTGTGTCACACCCCCGCCCCCAACGCCTGCGCCGTGCGCTCTGCTGTGACTGTAATAAGTGCCACCTCTGCTGGTGACGGAGGCAGAGCCCCTGCCCCACAAAGGGCGGCTGTTCTCATGAGCCATGCAGACCTCATAAACAGGCACCCCAGAAAAAGAATGTCGATACAGAGCCTGGCGGCAGGGGTTCACCCAGGGCCGGGCATTCGGAGGCCGGGTGGGGCAGGCTGGGCCTCACTGAGCCAGTGACGTCCTGCAAAATCTTGAAGAGGGTGAAGGGTGCCCTGAGCTGGGGAAGCCGCAGACAAGCGTGTGGAGGGACCATGTGGGGCTTTGCTGGCCGTCCCCGTCGTGAGGACTTGGGGTGGAGTCACACGGAGTTTGAATGGGGGGCGGTTTGGCCTCGCCTAGGCTTCAGAGGGTTGCTGCTGCCTCCGTCTGGAAAGCAGACTAAGGGACAGAGAAGAGGACACTTTTTTCTCTCAGCTGTCCCACCCACAGTAGGTGTACCTGGTGATCCTTGGGAGAAGAACACTGTGAGGTGTCTCAGTCCATCTTTGTGGCTATAACAAAATACCACAACTGGGTAATTTGTAAGGAAAGAAACATATTTTTTATTTCTTGTGTGGCACTGAGATAAGATCTTACTATGTAGTCCAGGCTGCCCTTGAACTCACTATGTATACAGCTCAGCCTGGTCTCAAACACAGCAGTCCTTCTGCCTCAGCCTCCAGAAGGCTGGGATGACAGGCATGCACGACTTTGCTGGTTTTTTTTGTTTGTTTGTTTTTTTCCGGTACCAGGGATCGAACTCACGACCTTGCGCTTGCCAGGCGGGCACTGTACTGCTGAGCTAAATCCTCAGCCCCTTAGAAATTTTTTTTTTTTTTCTGGTACCAGGGATTGAACTCATGACCTTGTGCTTGCTGGGCAGGTGCTGTGCTGCTGAGCTAAATCCCCAACCCCTCACTTTGGTGTTTTTGTGAGACAGTGCAGTGGACATGCAGGTGCTTTCCACCGAGCAGACCTTTCCCTGGGACTTCTGTCACTTTCCTCCAGGTCTACGGGCTGCTGGACACCCTGGTGACCGACCTGATGGTGCTGGCTGATGAGCTCAGCCCTGTGAAGGATATGGGGGAGCAGCTGCTTGTCTAGCTGTCCTGGGCCTTGAGACCTCCTGGCTAGCAATGATGCCAATAAAAGCCTTTAGGTTTCTAGCACTTGTGCTGTGCCTCTGTGTTTGGTGCTGGGTGTCCACAGGGTCAGTCACTGCCCAGGTCCTCCCAGTGTCCGGAGCTGACCCCGCCTGGGCAGGTGGTGGGAGACGGACCAGATGGACCAGGAGGAGAGCAAGTTGGTGGCAGGACAAGGGACACAATCGGGAGACAGGCAGACCCTGTCCTGAAATAAAAAATAAAAAAGGCCGGTGCAAAGGGCCTGGGTTTAGCCCCCAGATCTGAATGGGAGAAAAAAAAAAGCCCGGCACTGCCTGCTGTACCTGCACCTCTCGCAGCAGCCTGCGCTTCCTCAGGAATCAGGCTCGGGCCCCCCACTCTGATCGGAGCAAAGATGGTGCGGGTGGGAGGCAGGGGAGGAGCCAGGACCCCTGGGGTTCACGTTTGGTGTTTTTGTGGGACTCAGGACCGAGAGGCTCAGAGAGAGTGGCGCACTCGCGCCCTCCCTCCTGGAACTGGAGGGGTGGAGTCGGTGTCCTCGGAGGGCTGGGGAGGACAACCCCCCTCTCTTTTAGTGTCCCTGTGGCCCCAGGGGGAGGGGGAGGGTGTTGACCCCACACCGCTCCTGCTTCCTGATCGAGGAGGAGGCAGAGGAAGGGCTTGGGAGTGGGCGCAGGCTCTAGCTTCCGCCCCTCCTGGGGTCCCAAAACAGTGAGCCAGGATGCCGGCCCCGCCCCCCTGCTGGCTGTAACAAGGGTTAACCCGCCCCGGCTGCCCGCCCGCCCGCCTGCCCGCCCGCCCGGCAGCCTCCTGTGTCCTGTTACTGCTGAGGCAGACCTGCCGGGCCAGCCGAGCAACTTTCCTCCTGAGTGTCGGCCGCTGGCTGGCTGGAGTCTAGGCGCTGACCAGGCAGAGGCAGAGCTGCAGCCCGCGGGGGACCGTGCGCTGCCCTGCTGAGGGGTCTGCGCCCCTCGTGGATGGCTCTGGAGTTGCTGCCGAGGCCGAGCCATCCCTCTGCTGTGTGGACTGTAGGATCGCTGCAGAGGCTGCTCGGGCCGGGGCCGGGGCTGGGGCCGGGGCCAGGGGAGCCCACACTGGAGGTAAGCGGTGCTGCCTCAGGACAGACACAGAGGAAGCTGGGGCGTAGTCTTGCCAGGGGGCACCAGGCCCAGAGAGGACTGGGAGGCTTTTTACCTGTGCCCCAAGGATCTGTGGTGGCATCCAGGACCCCTGCTGGGTCCCCACAGATGGCTGCAGGTCTGGCCTCACGGTGCCCCTAGACGCAGTTCTCCTGGGGCTGGGGAGGATGGAAGCGCTGTGCCTCCAGCAGCAGGACAGGCATCGCCCTGCCCCCCCGCTGTTCCCACTGGACCCACTGGGGACAGAGGGTGGGAAGCGGGTGCCGCGCAGAGGCTTTGGCAAACACGTGCACGTGACCAGCCAGCTCTGGCTTCTCTTTCCGTCCCCCTGAACCCCCACACTGGTGTGGGGTGCTATCGGCTTCCTCAGCGCCGACTTTCAGGCTGAACCGTGCCAGGTCCCCCACCCTTGTCCTCCAGGACCTGAGAAGCGTGGCCTCCCGCAGGCCCCCGAAGTTCTCCTTGGGATGCCCAGTGGAGGGAGAGAGCTCCCACCCCGCCCCCCCACGCCTTCCGGCCCAGCCTCTGCCGTCTCCCAGCTCGGAACGGGCCTCCTGGGCCCTGGCCGCTCGGTGTCCTTCCCTGCGCCCAGCAGGGTCTGGCTCAAGGTCACTGCAGTAATTCCATACAGCTGCCTGGGGCCGCCGCCGCAGCGCCTTATCGGCAGCAGGTTTGGGTTTCACGGCCTTTTATGCCTGGGCATATTGTGTTCGATAAAACCCTCGCTTGTAACCCTGCTGGCAGGGCTCCCGGCCGCTCCCTCCTGCGTCCTGCCTCTCCTCCCCCACAGGGTCAGGGCCTCACCCCGTCCCCTCAGACACCAGGGGAGAAGGTCAAGCCCCTCCCTTGCCTGTGACCTCTCCCTTCCTGGCCCCTCGAAGGTGTGCTGAGAAAGCCCACCTCCTTCCCGGGAGCGAAGTCCAGGCTGCCGCCGAGCTCTCTCCTGCAAAAGCCAGAGTTGCCAGTGACCCGGGTCCGGGTCCCCGCCCCCCGCCGGCCTGGAGGAGGGCAGTTGGGCCGGGTCGCCTCTGGTGGAGTCGGGATACTTGACCGGTTCTGCTGGTTCCAGTGGCCAGCAGGGAGGGGCGTGCACCGGGGCGGGCTTCGGGCACAATTATTTCCCATCTCCACTCTGCCACCACCAGCCCTCCCGCCCACTGGGAGGTGAAGGCAGGTCTGAGTCACGGCCAGGGGGAGGGCAGGAGTTAAACTAGTTGTGGCTGTGGCAGCGCCACAGGGAGTCTGCCTCCGGCTGGACGGAAAGACAACAGACAGAGGAAGGTAGGCAGCTCCAAGCCGGGCACGCCCCATCTCTCCCGAGCCTGGGGTTCCCCTGGAGGGCCCCTGGGCCGGGATAGGACCTGCCGAGGCCTGCGGGGCCCCTTTGAACTAAGTCCAGGGCTCGCATCAGGGTGGAAGGACAGGATTACTGGGGGCCTGGGGGCCTGGGGGCTGAGAGCAGCCCTGCTTAGGTGTCTCTCCTCTAGCAGCCTGGGAACCAGAACAAGACTCAGCCAGGCTGGGTTGGGGGTGATGCCAGGAGGTGTGATGTCCCTAGGGGTTGGCCACTAGCTGCGGCCCCAGCCAGTGGGTGACACCTCTGCACTCCAGAGCCACACGGATGTGGTGGGGTCACTGAGAGGCTCGAGGGAGGACTTGTCTCGGACCCGGTCCTGAGGCCACGGGGACCGGATGTCACCTGGCCCCCGTCCTCCCTCTGCTGGGCTATCCAAGGCTTCTCTGTGGCCGGGACTTGGGGTTGTGGAGAGCCGGGAGCTTCTGTTTTGGCTGTGAAGTTGGGACTGAGATGGTAAAATAATCAGATCCATTAATTACCAACCTAGGTGACAGGGGTGGTAAGTATTGGATTAGTCTTATGGAGGCCCAGGTGCCAGTCCCAGCCCTTCCACCTACATGCTGTGTGATGTTGGCAGGTCACGGCCCCTGTCCGGTGGGTGTGGGTGGCCAGGTGATGGCAGCCAGGTGTCCATGACAGGCGCCTGCCCTCTGCCACGGGTCGGGCTCACATCCTTCCCTGGTTTGCTGGTTCCTTCCTCCTCCTCCCCATTCCCCTGGGCCTCTAATTTCCTCTCAGCCAGCGCCTCCTCCGGAAATTCTGCCCTGAACTTCCTCGCCCGGGTCTTCTGTGCTCCTGGGTGCACCTGGACGTGCATTGGCCAACCGTGTGTCCTGGGCCTGGCATTGTGCCAGGCTCAGAAAAGGCCTCCAGGAAGTAGGTGCTGAGTCCATCAAACTACAAACATTAGCCATAGGAGAAAAGAGGAGAATCCGGAGAGGTCATCGGCGAGAACTCGGCAGAAACGCAGAGGGAGGCAAACATGAATGGGGTGGGCAAGGGGACGTTCCCGCCGGCCATGTGAGGTCCTCGCTAAGGCCATGCATCTGGGAGAGGGGGTTCCTGGGCCTCACACCCCTCTGTGATCTTGGACAAGTCCTTGGCTCCTTCGCTGAGCCTCCTGCCCCACCTGTGATTGCTGATAGCAGGAAGAGCATCTATGGGGGTGGCCGTGCACACGGGCCTGCCCGGTTAGAAGTGCCTGTTGAATAATTAACAATGTAAGACAGGCAAAAGTGCTAGATGTGGTGACGCACGCCTGTCATCCCAGCATTTGGGAGGCTGAGGCAGGAGAATTGCTGTGAGTCTGAAGCCAGCCTGGGCTAATAGTGAGTTCAAGGTCAGCCTGCATTACATAGAGAGATCCTGTCTCAAAAATGAAAAGACCAAAGTGAGAGCCTTTGGAACCCTGTCCCCAGCAGCAGGGACGCTGCTGGCCAGGCTCAGGCAGTCTGTGGCTGAGTGACCCGCGAGGTGGGCCGCTGTCGCTGAGTTCCAGGTGTTCTCTCTTCCTCAGCCCCATGTGGAGCCCACAGACACGGCCGCCCTGCTGAGAGCACGGCGGCCCGCCCTTCGAGACAGTGACCTCGCGGCAGTGGCCCTCGGCCCTCCACCTCCGGCGGGGGCGGGGGCCGCCCACCTCCAAGTCCCCAGCCATGACCACCTCGGCGCTGCGGCGCCAGGTGAAGAACATCATGCGCAACTACTCGGAGGCGGAGATCAAGGTGCGAGAGGCCACCAGCAATGACCCCTGGGGCCCGCCCAGCTCGCTCATGGCGGAGATCGCAGACCTGACCTTCAACACGGTGGCCTTCGCGGAGGTCATGGGCATGCTGTGGCGGCGGCTGAACGACAGCGGCAAGAACTGGCGGCACGTGTACAAGGCGCTCACGCTGCTGGACTACCTGCTCAAGACGGGCTCGGAGCGCGTGGCCCACCAGTGCCGCGAGAACCTCTACACCATCCAGACGCTGAAGGACTTCCAGTACATCGACCGCGACGGCAAGGACCAGGGCGTCAACGTGCGCGAGAAGGTCAAGCAGGTCATGGCCCTGCTCAGGGACGAGGAGCGGCTGCGGCAGGAGCGCACGCATGCCCTCAAGACCAAGGAGCGCATGGCGCTGGAAGGCGCGGGCATCGGCAGCGGGCAGCTGGGCTTCCCGCGGGGCTCCCCCTCCTCCTACCACTGTGAGTGCCCCCCTGCCCCTGTGTGGCCGGGACAGGGAGGGGCCCGAGTACCAGGCTTACCTCTGCAACTCTGAGCTGTGGCTATCAGTTTCTGAGGACTCAGGGGCACAGTGCCCGGCACATTGTAGGTACTCAACAAATTAGCCACAGGAGAATGTCATTATTTATGTGTCGTTGTTGCTAATTAGCTGTTTGTTTATTTATTTATTTTAGAGACAGAGTCTTACTATGTAGTTCAGGTTAGCTTTGAACTCACTATGTAGCCCAGGCTGGTCTTGAACTTGCAAAGATTCCCCTGCCTCAGCCTCCTGAGTGCAGGGATTACAGGCGTGAAACACCATGCCTGCTTGCTAATTAGCTGTTTATAGGATGGCACGATGGCAGAAGCCCATGCTTTGGAATCATATACCCTTTATTATCCCCACTCCAAGCTATGCAACCTGACAACCAGTAATCTGAACCTCAGTCTCCTCCTCTGTAGAATGGGGATGATCTTGCCTCTCTCCACTGTTTGAGAAGTAAATGTGACTTGATTCAAGAATACCTACGACCCTTTGCCTGGATACAGAGAATTTTCCTTAATCTCCCCATTTCAAAGCACTGCCCTTGAACATAGGGGCAACTGCTGGGCAGTTTCTGGCTCTGTTTCCCCAGTGCTGGGGGCTCCCCTGGCCTGAGGAACCCCAGAATGGCCCATTGATCAAGCCCTTGGCAGTTTGCTGGGGCCCCTGAGGCTGCAAGCTTGTTGGATCGGAAGCCCCTCCCTTTGGCCCCAGACATGTGGCAGTCCAGAGGCTGGAGGAGGGTGCCTGGGTTCAAGTCCAGCCCCTTCTGAGTTGCTGCCCCCTGCTCAGGAGCCCCGGTCCTGCAGCCCCGTGCAGTGGGAATCTAACAGCAGGAGCCTGGCCTGCTGCCTGGCTCATTGGCACCCTCACTGCTCCCCCTTGCCTCAGTTTCCCTCTCTGAGCCTCAGGCCCCTGGCAGGCAGAGGGGTGTGGGGGCCTGAGGTGCCTGGTTTGGTCACAGTAGCCACAATGGTTATTGCAGCTGCCTCCTCATCCCCCCGCTACGCCTCAGACCTGGAGCAGGCCCGGCCCCAGACATCGGGAGAAGAGGAGCTGCAGCTGCAGCTGGCGCTGGCCATGAGCCGTGAGGAGGCTGAGAAGGTGAGGCCTGCACCCCATGGCCTAGGCGCAGGCCCCCACCTGGGCCTGAAGCCCCTCTGGCTTCCAAGGACAGCACAGGCCCTGTTTGTGTCCTGGGCCTGGCCCAGGTGGGGGCTGCGTCCCTGGCCCAGAAAAGGGCTGTGTGGGGCTGGGGTCCCAGTGTGGCCAAGGGGCCCACCACATCCTCACGGGGTGGAAGGGCTGGGAGTTGTTTGCCACGTTCCTGGGGAATAGGGGCTGCTGCTCCCTTCGAGCTGTCCCGTTAGGACCCCAGACTGCTACTATTTCTTTATCAACTGCTCCTCCTCCTCCTCCTCTCTCTTCTCCCTCCTTTTTCTTCCTTTTTTTCCCCTTTTGGTACTGGAGATTGACCTCAGGGCTTTTGCACTAAGCTACATCCTCATCCGTTTTTTATTTTGAGACAAGGTCTGGCTTTGTTGCCAGCTGGGCTCCAACTTGCAGTCCTCCTGCCTCAGCCTCCCAGAGTGCTGGGATTACCAGTGTGCGCCACCACACTTGGTTTGCTATCACCTCCTTTGCCACGACCTCTGTGGATCTGGGCAGACAGGGCAGGAACCAGGGGGGCCTCCCATGGCAGCCCTAGGGGAGCTCTTCGGGAACCCAGAAGAAAGAGATCAGCTTCCTGACCTTTCGGCTATGTCTCAAGAAGCAGGGAGAAGGGCACAGCCTCACCTCCCACCCCTACGCACCGGACATTTCTGTCTCTCCACCCCTGTCCCCTGGCAGGGCTGTGCCGGCCGCGGGCTGGCAGCACCAGGCCAAGTTCACCCCTGTCTTCCTCCTCACAGCCAGTCCCCCCAGCCTCCCACAGGGACGAGGACCTGCAGTTGCAGCTGGCCCTGCGCCTCAGCCAGCAGGAGCACGAGAAGGTAGTACGTGGGCCAAGCCACCTCGGCGGCGGCGGTGCAGGTGCTGGTGACGGTGCTAGGGGGCACTAACGGCTTCTTCTCCGCTGCTCTAACCTTGGCGCCTGCCTCCCACTGTCCCTGCCCCCAGCATGGGCGCCCAGGTCCCCGCGTCCAGCCTGGGCTGCTCGCGCCCCTCCTCCTCTGTGCTTTCTGCAGGAGGTGAGGTCCTGGCGAGGAGAGGACTCCCCCGTGGCCAACGGTCCAGGGGCTGCTGCCCGCCGTTGGAAGGACAGAGAGCCAGGGAGAGAGGAGAGAAAGGAGGAAGAGAAGCTGAAAAACAGCCAGGTAAGAGGTGGTGGAGCGCGAGCCGGCCGTGCGGCGACGGAGTCGTGCAGAACGCACTGGGCGCTCAGGAAGCACCACCTACTTATTAAAGGAAACGGGGGTGGCGACATGCCCGCAGCAGCCCCTGGTCCCACGCTGCGCTGGCTGGCTACTGAGCCGACAGCAAAGCAGGAAGCAGTGGAAAGATCCTGGTCGAGACCCTGGATGGGCTGCCACTTTAGGACTGTCCTGCCTCAGTTTCTCCTTCTGCACAGTAGGCGGATGAGGGGGCAGTTCAGGCTGTGATGCCTTAGCTGACGGGAGACTAAGTGGAGATTAAGGCTGTGGTCAGAGATATGGCTGAGAACATCGCGGGCTCCCAAGCGAGACCACCCCCGGGCTGTGCATGCTGTCCCCTTACTTGTGTGCACTGTAGCCATGTAGCTCAGTGTCCAGCCACCTGGGACACGTAGCTAGGGAGACAGGCTCGCTGTACAGTCTCCACCTGTCTTTTCTGCTGGCCTGGGTTCTAGCCCCGCTTGGCGTCTCCCTAGCTGTGCAACTTCAGGCAAATCATTGTCCTCTCTGGGCTTCAAGGGCTCAGCTATAAATAGGTCAGCACCTGCTCTCCCTTGCCTGCGGGATTCTTAGAGGAATCGGGAACTCAGCGGATGGGGAAGCATTTTATGAACTGGGAGTGCTGCACAGAGGTGAGGGGTCACGAAGGGATGTTTGTGGAATGAATAAAGGCAGGAAGCAGCCGCCGAGTCGGCTGGCAGGTCAGGGCCTGGCCTCCCTCTGGGTCCGCCCGCCTCATCTGCAGCTGCCTCTCCCTCCGCAGTCCTCCATCCTGGACTTGGCTGACATCTTCGTACCTGCCCCCGCACCTTCCTCCACACACTGCTCTGCTGACCCGTGGGACATTCCTGGTGGGCACGCAGGTTGGTGACGAGCTCCCCGCTGGCGCCAGAGGGCCCCTTCCTTCCCAGCTACCTGCTGGAAAACCACCTCCCCTACTAGCTGAGGGTCCGCCTGGGCCGGGCGCAGCAGGGGGTCCAGGCTGATGAGAGGCCCTGCTGAACACGGGCACCAGCTCACCGAGTGGCCCAGCATCGGCATCCCTGCTGTGTCAGAGTCCCACGCTTCTCTCTGGGGCCTGGGGAGCTGGCAAGGGGCCCGCATGAGAGCTGTGGAGGTCTGCATCACGTCTGTGTCCCTCCCACTGCAGGTCTCAGGCCAAGCACGGAGCCCAGCGGCTCTTCCTGGGGACCTTCTGCAGATCCCTGGTCTCCAGTCCCATCGGGAAATGTTCTGTCCCGAAGCCAGCCTTGGGACCTGCTTCCTACACTCTCCTCCTCAGAGCCCTGGGGCAGGACCCCAGTGCTGCCTGCCGGACCCCCTGCCACGGACCCCTGGGCACCACACTCTCCCCACCACAAACTTGCCAGCACCGGGGCTGACCCCTGGGGGCCTTCCAAGGACACACCTGGTAAGTGGAGGCAGAGGGTACTGTGACAGGCAGGAGACTTCTGGGTCCCCTGCCCCCAGGGCTGCAAGGGCAGCAGGTGCTGCCTTTACCGTGGCCATGCTCCACGGGTCAGGCCAACACCTCCCCAGTTCGCAGCTCTTCTCTCTCCTCTGCTAGCTGGAGGAGGTGTCTCAACCTTCGACCCCTTTGCCAAAACCCCAGAACCCACAGAGACCAAGGCAGAGCTGCAGGGTGCCCAGGCCGTGCCCTCTGGGAAGCCGGGAAGCCCCGTGGGTGAGCAGAAGGCCCAGGATACTGGGGCTCTGGGAGCGGGGGGGACCCAGGCCAGCCTCTGCTCTCTGCGTCATGGCCAGACCCTTGCCCAACAACAAGCTCTGTCTCCTTGCTAACAGATCTAGACCTGTTCGGAGAGCCCGGCCCCAGTTCCAAGCAGAATGGCACACAGGAGCCTGACGCCTTTGGTCTGGGGGCCCTGGGGGAGGCGCTGTCTCCTGCGCCCCCCAGTAAGGAGGTCCCTGCCCGTCGCACCCCAGAGTCCTTCCTGGGCCCCTCAGCCTCCTCCCTGGTCAACCTTGATTCGCTGGTCAGGGTGCCGCAAGCTGCACACACCCGGAACCCCTTCCTGACAGGTAGCGCACTCCTGGTCCCTGCGGGCACCCGGCGCATCGCTCTCTCTGTGGTCCCATCCGAGCTCTAGAACCTGACTCTTCCCCCTCTTCCCCTCACCCCTCCCGCAGGTCTCAGCGCTCCCTCCTCCACCAACCCCTTTGGTGCGGGCGAGCAGGTCGCACCCACCCTGAACCAGATGCGCACGGGGTCACCTGTGCCCATTGCGCCCATCGGGCCGCCCCTGGGCTCCATGACCTACAGCGCCTCCCTGCCCCTTCCGCTCAGCAGCGTCCCGGTCGGCAGGACCCTCCCCGTCTCGGCCAGTGCCTTCCCTCAGGCCAGTGTCTTCACCCCACTGGCCCCCGGCCTGCCACCGCCGCTGCTGCCCATGTCCAGCTCGGCTGGGCCGCTGGACGCGTCCTCGCAGGCGGGCACCAACCCCTTCCTCTGATCGCCTGCACCGGACGGCGCGTGAGGCCCCGCCCCCCACGGGCCTGGGCGGGGCGCTTGTGCAGCTTGAGCGCTGATTGGGCCTCCGTGGACTGCTGACAGCTCGCGAAGCGGGAGATGGACCACTGCGTGGGGAGCCGAGACCACACCCCCACAATAAAGACTGGAACCCAGGCCCTCAGCTCGTACCAAGTGGACTCTTTGCCAGGTGTGGCATCTGGGTCTGGACACAGCGCGGCTGCTCGGCTGTGGAGGAAATGATGACTCCGCAATCGGGAGAGCAGATACCCGCTTCTTCCAGGGCCACACCCTCTCCCGTCAGCCTGGCACTTCCGCCTCCAGATGCTCCCTGGCTGCGGCTCGTTCCTTACTCATAGGCACCGGGGCTGGTCTGACAGCCGCGGACAACAGGGACTTGTTTTATGCATCGCGCACTCATAGCGGGCTAAGCACTTTAGGCAGGAAACTTTGTTTAATCATGGCACTGAGGGAGATAATCCTCTCTCATTCAGGACCAGCCACAGAATTTGTTGCGTCCAATGCAAAATGAAATTGCAGGGCTCCTTGCTCAAAATTGGATCAAGATTTTTTCTTTTTTTTTTAAGTTTTTGAGACAGGTTCTCACAATATAGTTTAGGCTGGTTTTGAACTATGTAGCCCAGGCTGGCCTCCAATCTGCAGCGATGCTCCTGCCTCAGCCTCCCAAATGCTGGGATTACAGGTGTGTGCCACTCGGCCCAGCCCTATGAATCTTAAATCAAGAAAACCAAACATCAGTCCAGGTGCATAGCCCTTCCCAGGGCAATTGCACTGGCCACTCATGTGGCTGCCCTTTGGTAGAAGAGGTTGAGGGAAATGCTTCAAGTCCCCAAACTAGGATGTTGTGGGGCAGGGATTCTAAATCAGGTGGTCTGGTACCACAGCCTGGAGCTCCCAGGCTGGGCCCCAGGTTTAAGAACCAGGAACTGCTGAGCTCGCAGCTTCAGGAGCTCAGTGGACAGGACACGGGCAGGGGACGTGGCTGCAGCACAGACAGTGCCAGGAGCCCCCCGCTCTTTTGTTCTACGGAGTACTCCAGAATCAGAGCTTCGGCCACCTTCGCCTGGGGCTGCAGCCATCACGTGAGACAGGCCCCCCCTGGGGCTTCGGCAGAGTCTACAAAGGCAAAGGCGGGCCGACCCTGGTACTCCCTCCATCCTGGGCGCCCCCAGTCGTGTCACTTCTAACGATGCCGCCATCACTGGTCACTGCTGGGTCCCCAATCTCAGGGACCTGCCCTGCAGGCACCTGCTGCTCCCCCACTCCCTTCGGGGGCCAGAAATACCAAAGTTGGTGGCTGGGGAAACCGTGGCACGCCCCTGCCCGGGCTGGGGTGGGGGCGGGGTCCCACCCAGGCTGCTGTGGACCGGATGGACGAGGGCACCTCCTCAGGCGTCAGACCCAAGGGCTCAGCAACAATTGCTCTGCGGTTGAATTTAATGATAATAACGGGTTATTACCGTAATAAGTGGTTACTCCGCCTGACCTCCAGTAAATCACTGCACCTCGCTGTCTGTGCCTCTGCTTCCTTTCTCGTCAGTGGGACGGGGGGCCCTTCCTCGTGGGGCTGCTGTGCGGCCAGTGTCCGTCCCCCCCGAGGACTCACCGCCTCGACACTGAGGAAGCCCACCCTGCCCCCATTTCTGGCTTTGCCAGGCGGCACCCCAAGGCCAGTCCACATCTGTCTTCTGCTGGACCCCACGCTGGAAGTTTCCATCATCCTTGGTCCCAGACCCAGCTCTCCCTGGGGGCTGTTCAGTCTGTGACACTTCCTGGTCCCTAAAGCCACTTCTAGTCACCCTCATCCTAACTGGAGCAGCCTGCGTCCTCCCCCCACCCCGCCCCCGCCACACCTCTTTCTTGGGATGCCCTCCCTCTTGGCACCAGACTTCCACCAGCTCTTCCCATGCCGCGTGACGCCCTTACCCAAGAGGATGCCCTGGCTGCCCTTGGCCTCATTTGCCCGTGCCATGGTCACCCTTGTCACTGGCCCAGATTCCTCCCACCCCAAGCAGGCTTCCTGTTCCCCATCTGAACCTCACTGCTTCCGGCTGGTGTCTCCCCTGTCACTGAGTACCCTCCACCTCCCCCACCTCCCTCTCCAGCGGGACAACGTCCGCCGCCCTTCTTCCCAGCCACCCTACCTGGTCTACCACTCATTTTCCCTTTGCTGTTATCTCCAGCCCCAGCTTGTTTGTGTGTCCCAGGACCTTTGCACACACTGTTCCTTCTGCCTGTCTCTCCGATATTCACCCCACACTCCTTCCACATTCCCTCCAGTCCTCTCTGTCACGAATGTGATTTTTCCTGGGAAGCCTTCCCCCTTGTCTGTCCTGCCAGCGCCTCATCATTGCACCCACTCACCACACTTGTAGGGGTGGCTGAATATACGTTTGCGTGGCTGTCAGAGTCAGTGCCGGCAATGTCGGTCAGTGGGCACTCGGCACATTTGGGCAGATGCACGGACAGGATATCAGCAGTTGCGCATTGTGGATAACCTCCCGGGGAGGTGCGATTTGGGCAGGCTGAGCCAAGCAGTTTGCTTGCTTAGGTGAATCCCGACAAGACCTTGGGCTCGAGCCTTATTTTGAATTTTAAAGGGAGCAAAAGCTGCACCAGATGAATCGAGACTGTGAAATCGCTGACCCTACATCCCACAGCTTTCTGGGGTGAGTGGAGAGCAAGCTGAGCTCAGTTTTAGGCACAAACCTGGGTCCTCCGAAGCCCGCTCCGCCTCTTCTACAGTTCCTCACTCGGCCGCCGGGCGGCGCTCGGAGACCAGCCACGCTGTCCGGCCCGGAACACTCGGTCCGCCGCGGCCGAGAAGCCCTGGTGCGCACGGGCCTGGCTGGGCCACGGCCTTCTTTCTGCAGCCCCGCGCTGGGCTGGGTGGAGCCGTTAGCGGCAGGTACGAGCCGGGTGAAGTCACCCCAACCCGGCGCTGGCTGGTAGTGCTTGCTCTGGACAACCCCTGCATGCACGTCCATGCTGCACCCTGCTGCACACCTGAACCCCAGAAAGGCCTCTCCTTGCTGAGCCCCTCCACTCCAGCTGCAGGTGTGCTGACACCACCTCCAGGAAGCCTCCCAGGACCCAGTGCCCGGCCAAGGCCCCTCCCTAGCAGCACACACCAAGGGGGTTACAGACTTACGGTCCTGTGCAGCTGCAGAGCCTACAGTAGTGGGGATTGAACCCAGGGCCTCGGCACTGAGCTACATCCCAGACCGTTTTTATTTCTTTTGAGACATAGTCTCACTAAATCGCTAAATTGCCAGGACTGGGTATGAGCTTGCAGCCCTCCTGCCTCAGCCTCCCAGCATGCTGGGATGGCTATGCCCGGCTGGGCCTCATTATTTAGGTCTGTCCCCAGCATTGTTTTCTAGGCTGAGGTCCTGCTGAGGGTGTTTCTGATCCCCTGGGAGGCCTGCGGGTCTGCTTGGCAGGGGAGGGTGACCAAGAAGTTGTGCTGTCTCTTTTCCTCTGGTTGCCCGCCATGGCCCAGTCCCAGACCCAAGTCTTCTTGACCTGTCCGGCCACCAGCAGTGCCCCCGACACATGCCAGGAATCCCCTGGGAGGGGCCTGGCCCGAGCACGGAACAGAGCCGGAAGCACCATTCTGCCCATTGTGACCCGGCCTGACTTCGCTCACCTCCCTGCGCCAGGTCCAAGAGGCTGGGGGAGACGAACCTGGCAGGGAGCCCCCAATGAGCCACTCCTCCTCATCACCCCCGAAACACAAGGGGGAGCACAAAGGCAGAGGTCTCCCCCGTGGTTCAGAAAGGTGGGTTGAGCAGGAGCCTTTGGTGGTGCCCGAGGCCGGGGCAGTGGGGGGGGGGGACCCTCAGGGAGCCGTTGCCTGCCTGACCCACCTGCCCACACCAGGGGCAGCTCCACCCGGGACAAGGACCGCAGTGCTACGGTCAGCAGCTCCATGCCTGCCGGAGGGAAGGGAAGCCGGTCCAGCAGTGCCACCAACACAGCCCAGAAGGTCCCCAACCGCCTGATCAATGAGAAGTCCCCGTACCTCCTGCAGCATGCCTACAACCCTGTGGACTGGTGCATGCCCTCCCCAAAGCAGTGGGGGCGGGGGCAGCCCCTCCTCGACTGCGCGCCCCGACTCCTGAGTGATGTCCCACCTTGCTGGGCCTAGGTACCCCTGGGGACAGGAAGCCTTCGATAAGGCCAAGAAAGAAAACAAGCCCATCTTCCTCTCAGGTGACACACCCGCCACCCCCGAAGGGGGGACAGGTACTGGGAAGGGGGACGGGGCCTCGGGCCGTGGGGGACCCCAGGAGGCTGGAGTCAGGGCCACCTCCGTTCCAGTGGGGTACTCCACCTGCCACTGGTGTCACATGATGGAGGAGGAGACCTTCCAGAACGAGGAGATAGGCCGCCTGCTCAGCGAGGATTTCATCAGCGTGAAGGTGGACCGCGAGGAGCGGCCGGACGTGGACAAGGTGTACATGACCTTCGTGCAGGTGAGCCCTGTGCGCCCGAGTGCAGAGGCGCCTGGTGGGCGGCTGGCCTGACCCCGGCCCCCTCTGCCCCTGCAGGCCACGAGCAGCGGCGGGGGCTGGCCCATGAACGTGTGGCTCACCCCCAGCCTCCAGCCCTTCGTGGGGGGCACCTACTTCCCCCCCGAGGACGGCCTGACCCGAGTGGGTTTCCGCACGGTGTTGCTGAGAATCCGGGAGCAGGTGGGTGCGGGCGACGGCAGAGAGGCCTTGGGGTCGGGATGAGGGAAGGAGGGGTCCCCCACCGTGCTGACCTCGGGGCACCCCTCCCCGCAGTGGAAGCAGAACAAGAACACCCTGCTAGAGAGCAGCCAGCGTGTCACCACGGCCCTCCTGGCCCGCTCAGAGATCAGCATGGGCGACCGCCAGGCGCCGCCCTCGGCCGCCACCATGAACAGCCGCTGCTTCCAGCAGCTGGACGAGGGCTACGACGAGGAGCATGGCGGCTTCGCGGAGGCCCCCAAGTTCCCCACCCCAGGTCAGCACCCTCCGGCCCCCCTGCCCAGAGCAGCTCCTCAGACCTGGCCTTGGTTGTTGAGCCCTTGCCCTAGCCAGTGCCTGGCGTCCTTAACCCTTGACCCCAGGCTTACACAACGAGCTTTGGACCCTTGACACTGGCCTGGCTCGGGTTACTGTCTTGTCAGTAGCTTTCTGTTCGCCTGTGGCCTGATTTTTTTTAACCCAGAGCCCTCACAGGGGATTACATCCCCAGCCCTTTTTATTTTTATTTTGAGGCAGGGTCTTACTAAATCGATAAATTGCCCAGACTGGGTTCAAATTTTGGGTCCTCCTGCCTCAGCCTCCCAGAGTGCTGGGATTATGGGAGTATGCCACCATGTTCGGTTCTGATGATGTTTTGCTTTCTGGCTCGGGCAGTGACCTTACGACCTCAGGGTTGACTGCTGGCTTCCTGACCCCAGCCTGGCCAGAGGCTGCGAGTCCGGTAACCTGCACCTCCCCCCTTCCCCAAATCCTCACGTTCTTGGCAGTGATCCTGAGCTTCCTGTTCTCCTACTGGCTTGGCCACCGGCTGGCCCAGGATGGCTCTCGGGCCCAGCAGATGGCCTTGCACACCCTGAAAATGATGGCCAACGGGGGCATCCGGGACCACGTGGGGCAGGTGAGGGAGGCTGTGTGTGCAGTGGAGGCGGTGCGTGGGGACAGAGGCTGGGATCGGCCTCCAGCCCCACGTCCCGCCTGGCACAGGGCTTTCACCGCTACTCCACTGACCGGCAGTGGCACGTGCCCCACTTTGAGAAGATGCTGTACGACCAGGCGCAGCTCGCGGTGTCCTACTCACAGGCCTTCCAGGTCACCCCCAGCCCCGCCTGGCCTCCCTAGCTCCCCGGCACCCGCTCCCACACGCCACTCCCCAGCTGTCCCCTGCACCGTCCCGGGAGAACATGGCCCCCACGTACCTGGGCCACCCCGTGACCTCTGCTTACAGCCTCCTTCCCGCTCCCAGATCTCTGGAGATGAATTCTACTCTGATGTCGCCAAGGGCATCCTGCAGTACGTGAGCCGGAGCCTGAGCCACCGGGTGTGTGTGTGCACCGAGGCAGGCGGGCCTGTGCGGGCGGGGCCGGGCCTCCCCTGCCCTTGGGTCTGCGGCCTGACAACTGGCCCTCCCGCAGTCTGGTGGTTTCTGCAGCGCAGAGGACGCAGACTCGCCCCCGGAGCGAGGCATGCGGCCCAGGGAGGGTGCCTTCTACGTGTGGACAGCCAAGGAGGTCCAGCGTCTCCTCCCGGAGCCTGTGGCGGGCGCCACGGAGCCGCTGACTTCGGGCCAGCTCCTCACCAAGCACTATGGGCTCACAGAGGCCGGCAACATCAACACCTCTCAGGTAAAGGGATCTGGGGTTTCCAGGAGGGGAATGGAGGCCATTGGGCCATATGTGGACTCCTTGGACAAGGGCCGTTATCCCCAGGACCCCAAAGGGGAGCTGCAGGGCCAGAACGTGCTGACCGTCCGCTACTCGCTGGAGCTGACTGCGGCCCGCTTCGGCCTGGAGGTCGAGGCAGTGCGGAGCCTGCTCACAGCGGGGCTGGACAAGCTCTTCCAGGCCCGGAAGCAGCGGCCAAAGCCACACTTGGACAGCAAGATGCTGGCTGCTTGGAATGGTGAGGCGGCCCTGGCTGAGGCCTCTTCCTGTGGGCAGTATTCTCCTTCACCACACTCTTCATGCCTGTTGGGCTAAATGCAGATTCTTTATTAAGTTTATTATCCTTAGTTAATTATCATTGTCATCATCATCACTTTGAGAGGCCCTCATTTTGCAGCCCAGGCTGGCCTTGAACTCACAGGGATCCTCCCGCCTCAGCCTCCTATGTGCTGCGATTACAGGTGTGCGCCGCAGTGCCAGCCATGATCCTTAATTTATAAATGAACAAATTGAGACTAGAGTCTAAGTAACCCACTCAGGTCATGCATGAGGCCCAGAGTCCAACCCTGCCTGGTGCTGAGACCAAGATCCAGAAAGGTAGGGATGGGGTGGGCATCTCTGCAGGGCCCTGGCCACTTGTCACCCATCCCTCTGGCCCCTGCCCTTCCCTCCCCCCAGGCCTGATGGTTTCTGGCTACGCTGTGACCGGGGCCGTCCTGGGTGTAGACAAGCTGGTCCACTGCGCCACCAATGGGGCTAAGTTCCTCAAGCGGCACATGTTTGACGTGGCCACTGGCCGTCTGAAGCGGACCTGCTACGCTGGCACCGGGGCCACCGTGGAGCACAGGTGAGGGGCCGGGCACGCCGGCGGCCTCTTGTCCGAGCACGTCCCCAGCCTGCACTGGGCAGTGTGTCCATCGTGAGAGGGTCACCTCGCTGGGCCCGTTTACACGGCTGGGGACTGGACTAGCGCGGGCTGCGGGAGAGCTGGGTTTTGAGGGTACGATGAAAGAACACGTGCAGAGGGCTCCCTCTGCGACAGCCCTGGGCCTGACCCCAGCCTGTCCCCTCTTGCCCCTGCCCCTAGCGAGCCACCCTGCTGGGGCTTCCTGGAGGACTATGCCTTCGTCGTGCGGGGCCTGCTGGACTTGTACGAGGCCTCACAGGAGAGCGCGTGGCTGGAGTGGGCCCTGCGGCTGCAGGACACGCAAGACAGGCTCTTCTGGGACTCCCAGGGTGGCGGCTACTTCTGCAGTGAGGCCGAGCTGGGGGCCGGCCTGCCCCTGCGCGTGAAGGATGGTCAGTGTGGGCAGCGGCCACTGGGGCCCTGGACCAGGCAGGGCTTGGCTTCCCAAGGGCGGTGCGAGTGCGGCACGGTGGTGACAGTGTGGCCGTGGCATCTGGTAACACGTCTGTGTAGCTCCTGGGGTCTCCTGAGGTTGCTAAACCTGTTTCTTCTCATGCGAAAGGGAGTCAGGGCTGGTGCTGTCTGAGGGGGCAGAGGAACATGAATCTTGCTCTCGCTACAGTCAGGTGCCCCCCGGTTTAGGCACCGCATGAGGTTCACCCCCTCAGTAATGATGCAAGCACGCGTGTGTCACACGCAGTTACCATGGGGCAAGGCCGGGAGGAAGCAGGAGTCCTGAGCCAACCGCCAGGCATGGTGACATGGGCCTATAGCTCCTCTGAGAGTCTGAGGCAGGAGGATCGAAAGCTCAAGGACAGCTTGGGCTTCACAGTGAGTTCAAGGCCACGCTGGACTATGTACGTAGCAAGATCTTGTCTCAAAACAAACAAACAAAAAACCCCCCCAAAACAAAAGGGAAAGAACAAAATAAAATTAAAGGCTATTAGAAGCCAAGCATGGTGATACATACCTGTAATCCTAGTACTCTAGGAGGCTGAGGCAGGAGGATCACAAGTTTGGGTTCAGCCCAGGCAACTTAGTGAATTAACAAGACCCTGTCTCAAAATAAAAACTAAAAAGGGGCTGGGGACGTAGCTAAATGCAAAGGCCCTGGGTTCACCCCCCAGTACCTAAGGAAAAAACAGCCCTGCACCATGAGCCTGCTGGTCACCCACGTCTTGTCTGTTGTTAACATCTCCTCAGAGAGCAGGACTCACTTTTTAGCACTCAAGGAGGCTCCTCTGTCACCGCTGTGTCCCCAGCGTCTAGGACAGTCCTGGCACACGGTAGGTGCGCAGCAGATGTTAGTGGAATGGTGGAAGGGCCTTGGGAGACAGACTCGATTAAGCGTGTGACAGGTGTCGTTTAGGGGCCTTGTGGTCCCCGGAGAGCTGGGGAGGAGGCAGCCGAAGCCCTGAACGGGGCTGGAGGGCGCTGAGGCTGGCGCTGCGCAGCTGTGACCTGCCCTGGTTTGGGCATCTCAGGCCACCCTGACCCGTGATGCAGAAAGGACGGGAGACAGGGTGAGCCGCGAGGAGGCCCATCGTGCAGGTGCTGTCCAGGCCGGGCTGGGGAGCGGGAGGCACTGGGGTGGGGATCTGCTGCTGTGGCTCGCGGGTAGATCGGGAAGCCGGAAGGAAGGTGCCATCCGGGCCAAGGCCGCGGGTGCTGGGGAGGATCGGCCGTGGGCTGGGGAGCCCGCGCTGGCCAGGGAGCAGCAGTCCTCCCTCCTGAGACCCGGGGACCTTCCCTTGCCAACCCCCGCCTCCCCCTGCCCTGCAGACCAGGACGGTGCAGAGCCCAGCGCCAACTCGGTGGCGGCCCACAACCTGCTGCGGCTGCACGGCTTCACGGGCCACAAGGACTGGCTGGACAAGTGCGCATGTCTGCTCACCGCCTTCTCCGAGCGCATGCGCCGCGTGCCTGTGGCGCTGCCCGAGATGGTCCGCGCGCTCTCTGCCCACCAGCAGGGCCTCAAGCAGGTAGGAGGGGTGGCGGGGTGGAGGGGCCACAGCGGGGACGGCGACGTGGGCAGGGCTTGGGGCTGTCCCCGCGTAGGGCCGTGTGTTCAGGTGCCCGGGAGGCTGGTGTGTGGGAGGATGGTGTCTGAGCAGGCCCGTGCCCGCCTGAGCACTGTCCCTGGGCTGTCACAGTATGGGGGCAGGTGGCAGGGGCTAAATATGGGTCCCCGCTCCTCCATGCGGCTCCGTGTATCAGTCTGATTATTTCTGTCCCATGTGCGAAACCCCAGAGGTGTCGGGGAGTGTATGCCTGCCTTTCTGGGTGTATGCCGTTTGTCTGCTGTCACATATGTGTCCGACTGCAGGTCTGCCTGCTTACATGTGTGTCTGTCTGTACGCGTGTGCATGTATGAAGCGTGTGCAGTGGCCGCCGTGTGCACGCGTGCCTGCTGTGTGTGGATGTCGTGTGTCTTGCGGTGTGTCAGGTCTTCTGGGGGAGTCCACACCATGTATGACACGGCACACGCGTGTTCTCCTGCGAGTGAGCCTGTGTGTTTCTGCTTGCCACACGTTACATCTGCTGTGGCCTCTGGGTGCTGACTCTTGGTTGCTTCTTAGGGATACAGGGCGGGGTGCAGGGATGGTGGGGAAGCCCCGTAGGTCCCCTCCCACCTGTGACCCTGGAGTGACCTTTCTGTTCTGGCCAGATTGTGATCTGCGGAGACGCCCAGGCCAAGGACACCAGGGCTTTGCTGCAGTGCGTGCATTCCCTCTACGTCCCCAACAAGGTGCTGTCTCCCCGCCCCGCCCTCCCCGGCACGTTTGCCTGGAACTGTCCCTCGCAGCATCCTCGCGGTGATGCCCTCTGCTGTGCCCTGCCCCAGGTGCTGATTCTGGCTGACGGGGACCCCTCGAGCTTCCTATCCCGCCAGCTGCCCTTCCTGAACACGCTGAGGCGGCTGGAGGACCGGGCCACCGCCTACGTGTATGAGAACCAGGCCTGCTCCATGCCCATCACGGAGCCCTGCGAGTTACGGAAACTGCTTCTCCAGTGACTGCTCACCCCAGGGCTGGGGCGGAAGGTCAGGCTTCCCAGCCGACTCCGACCCTGCAGGGCTGAGTGGAGCCTGAGGCCACCCGGTGGCCTTGGCCCTCCTCTCTGCTCCCCATGGGCACCCATGCACCCTGGAATAAACCTAACAGCATCCCGTGGTAACCCGGGCTCGGCTTCATTTGCGAGGGAACCTACGTCCCGGACCCCTTTCTCTGAGAGACCCCAGCTAACCCTGTCCTCTCCCGTCCCCTCCTCACCTTCCGGTGGTCACCAGGCTGCCCCTGCCCCCCCCACATGGCCATGAATCTGAAGGAAACCAAGACCAGGGAACTAAGCCGAGTGCAGAGGACCAGGCTGGGGACAGGGTATGTACCAGGTCAGGAGGGGAAACCCCAGTCCGTCTCCTTAGGAGGGGGGCTAAGAAGGGGATCTGTTTTCCTCCCCCATTGTCTTTTTCTGCTGTATTTGAGGCTTGAAGCCAGGCCCTTGGAGCTGGGCTGGAACTTGTGATCCTCTTACCTCAGCCTCTCAGAGGGCTGGGACTACAGACTTGCACCACCCGGCGTGGCTCCTGCACTGGGCTTGGAGAAGGGCCCGGGGGTGCTTCATGAGAGCCAGCGTTTCACAGAGTGACCAGTTTGCTGTGCCCTGGTGCACAGTGTGTCATCAGGATTAAGACATTTCTTTGGGGGAACCCCCTCCCCCACCCCAGGCCCTCACCAGGAGAGAGGCAAGGACTCTGAGGGAAGCGGCACTGTTCACCCGCTCCTTGCTGGGAAACGTATATGGTCCTAGAAAGAGCTTGCTTTTGTGTGGGGCGTGTGTTGGGTTCAAGTCTCTCTGCAAATCTATCTCAGTCCTTCCTGCTGCAGAGGAAGCTGGTGCCTTCCGGTGCCCCCACTATGCTGGGAGATGTCCTTGAGGCCTGTCCATGGCACGTGCATCTTTTCGGGCTCCGGAAATGCATGTAGGCAACTGGGAAGGGCAGGTGCAGAGTGACGGGGCTGCCAGGTGTGGCGGGGAAGCTGCCCTGGTGCCGTTCAGGGCTCTGCATCCTCCCAGCTCCCCAGATTGCACAAGCCCGACAGCTGAAAGAAGCTACTGGGGACAAGGGCCTGGATTGGGCACTGCTTGTGGAGAGGAACAGAGCAAGAGACTGCATAGTCGCTCCCTACACAGGGCCGAACACAGCCACACATGGTCACCGGGACCGCGTCAGCTCTGGGTAGGCAGCCCTCCGTGCAAGTTGCCAGCCCATCTGGAGGGGATTAGCGCGGTGGCCAGCGAGGTTGGCTGGGCCCATCCTTGTCAGAGTCCACTTGGCCTGGCCAGGAAGTCAGAGGCCGGAGGTGCGGAGCCTGGCGGGGAGGGGTGGCGTGGGGCAGCACAGGTGGCCTTTCTGGCAGCCAGGGCCCTGGCTCTGAACAGGCTTGGGCAGTCTGCACAGCCTCTGCCACCACCGTTGCACTGATGTGCATGAGAGCAGCATGGGCGGGGAGGGGAGACAACTTCAGCCTCAGCAGAGAGTTGTGGGCCAGAGAGGGTAAGGGTCTGGCCTGAGACCCCCCAGGGTCGTCGGGGTACAGTGGGGATCACAAAGTGTCCTCTTCCCCAGGAGGTCTAGGCCCCGCCGTGGAGGAGGGCGAGTCTAGGGTCCTCCCTCCACCTGGCCACCCTTTTGCATCTCCCTTCGGGTACCACTCCTGCAAGTGGGTCCAGAAGGCGTTAAGGCCTTAGAGGGCTCGTTCACCCAAGAGTGCTTCATTTTCCCTAGAGGGTGAGACTGAGTGTAAACCTCGCTGATGTGAGATTTGGTCTCCAGGTGTGTGTGGCGTCTGTCCAGGGCTGTCGAGGTGACCAAAGAGGGTAAATGTTTGCGTGATCCTTGAGCAAAGAGTATCACAGGTGGGGAGATTCGGCTTCCTGGGAGCCACGGGGGAAGGGGGAGGGGTGAAGGCTAAGGGGCTGACAAGCAGCACATATGGGGTCGCCCCTCAAACCCGGAGGAGACCTCAGATAATATGCAGGCCTGACTTCTTCATGGGAAAACAGGCCCAAAGAAAGGGACTTTCTTGTCCCTGTCCTCTCTCTCCCTACCTGAGGTTATTCAGTCATTGAACAAAAATTTACTGAGCACCTACTATGTGCCAAACACTCGACTAGGCCCTGGTGAGCGAAATGCACACTGTCCTTGCCTCAGGATATAAATCGCCTAGAGGGGGAGACAGAGATTTCTTTACCACAAGCATAAAGGTATGGTTCCAGCCTGGGCTAAGTACTGAGAGGATGTAGACTTTTAAAAATAGTTTAAAAAATTTTCTGTTGATACCCATTTGTGGTACAATGATTACAGTCATTGTGGGGAGTTGGCGCTGGTACACATCTGAATTCTTTTCACTTCCGCTTGCCCAGGACGGAGACTTCGGTCTCAGTTCTGCACCCGAGGCACGCTGGTGCTTAACAGACATGGAAAGAAAGCCAGGCTGAGGAGGGGCTCTCAGAGCCAGGACCCCCAGGGCTGGGCTTCAAGACAGATTCTGGTCTTGCTTGGCAGCCTTCTGGCTGTTGGTGCCAACCCCGAAAGCTGGGTACACAGGATGTCATAGTTCCCTAGTGCCCAGGTACAGGTCACCCGCAGGCCACCAACTCAGGCAAGCAGTTCTCAGTGCGCCGGCGTCTGTCCCCTCTCCAAGGGGGAGCAGTCCAGGGAAAGGGTGGCCTGGAAGATGCTCGGGGGTGGGGGCCTGCTGAACGCCGGAACCAGAAAGCCTCTCTGGCCTCATTTCCTCATTTCCCCCTCTGCAAAGCCTCCCTGTGCCAGCCGCTCTGGGGCTTCTGGACCCTGGGCAGAAGGGCAAGCCTGCCTGCCAGACTGCTGACCCGGTGGAGGCAGGAAGGTGTCAGACGCACGGAGCAAACCACAAACAGCCCCCCTTTCCGAGAAGATGGCCCCGAGTTCAAGACAGCCGAGCACCTCACACACTCTCCGCCTGAGACAGAGGCACTTAAGGGAGCTGCTCATTAGCATGAGATGCAAATAAGCCCGGCCTCATTTGCACAACTCGGTGCCCGGATTCGGCGAAAGGGCAACTGGGGAAGCGAGGGCGCAGCAGCCGCTCTGCGCCACCGGCCGGGCGGGGTTGGGGCGGCCCCCACCCACGCCGCCGCGGGGGGCCGGCGGGGCTACGTGGGCGGCGCGGCTGGGGCAGCGGGAACGAGGCCGGGGAGCCGCGGGAAGGGTGCGGGGGGCCACCGGTCCACCTCCGGCCTCTTCCGCAGAGGTTGGGCTCTAATCCTCGGTGCCCTGCCTCTGCCCCCGTGCCTAGTATCCTCGTGGACCCCAGTTATCCGGTACCCAGTTTTTGGGGTTGACGCCAGCGGCGGGAGGGAACTACAGCTGCCTGCGCCGCAGAACTCGGGGTGGAGATGGGGGCGAGGCCGGGGTCTGGGTGAGGGTGTGCGCGCTTGGGAAGGTGAACAGGGAACTCAGCAAAGCGACTGTCCTGCGGTCAGTCTCCCCCTAAGCCACACAGGGACTCCGGAGAGAAACTGAGGCACAGTGAGGGGCGGGTGGGAGCTCTCTGCAGGAGCTGATAAAGGCCAGCCGGTGCTGCTAACTCCTCCCACACACTCGAGGCTCCCGCAGGTCCCTTCGCGGAGACTCGGGCTCTACAGTCCAGAGTGACCCGGCTGGGCTACGAGTTTGAGCAGGAGTCCCCTGGAGTGGAGTCTACACCCTTCAGCCTTCCTAGGGGCACTGGCTGGACCTCAGGGTCTGCACGCTAAGTTAGGAGGTCCGGGTCAATCTTGACGCGGGCCCGGGCTCCAGGACCCAATAAATAAACCCAGGAGGCGGGTAGAGGGCAAGCGCAGACCTGGCCTACCTCGGCCTTTCCCTGGCTCCGCCCTCCTGCCGAGGCCCCGCCCCCGGAACGTCGGCCCTGCTCCCCTCCTGCCTAGGCCCGCTCCCGGGTCCATCGACTCGGTAGGTGATAGACCTGGTGGAGACCCGGAATTTGGCTCTGGGACCCAGGTCGCAATCCTTGCCCCCGTGCCTACCGCCTCCTGCCTTCTCCAGACTTGACCAGAGCTGAGCTCCGCCCTCTGGCTGCTGTCCAATTCGGGGTCCTGAACAAAGGATGCCCGGGGCTTGTGGCGCTACCCCAGGACCCGGCGCCAAACACTCTGATTCCCCGGGGCTCCCTCCAGGGGAGTCCCAAAGACCCCAGTGGCCAATCGGAAAGTGGGTTCGGCCTAGGCAGCCATCTCATTGGCTCCAGCCTTCGGGAGCGGACCCAGGGGCAAGGGGAGGGGAGAGGGGCGGTCCTGGGATTTGGGGTGGGAACAGGATTCCAGCTGTGGTTCTCCCCCCCGCCGCCCCGCCCGCACTGCCGCGGCTACCCACCAATGGGCGCGCGGCTCAGAGCCGGCGGCGTGCGGCGATTGGTTGCGGGCTCGGCCAGGGAGGGGCGGGGCCAAGGCTTGAAGTTGGAGTGAACGATCCAGCTGCGGCGCGCGCCGGGCTCCTCGCCGCCGCTTTCGCTCGCTCTCTCCGCGTCTCGGCCGGAGGAGGAGGCGGTGGCGCCGGCGACAGCTACGGCATCGGCAGCCACCGCGGCGGCGGCGGCGGTGGCATCTCCGCCTCCACCCCCGCCCGGGACAGCCCCCCACGGTCTCCCCGCCCACCCCCTCGGGTTGTGCGCCAGCCGCCGGGCCGAGGAAGGAGCCGCCCCCCGCCCCCCCAAACCCACCCGCCGGGAGCCGCTCCTCCCCTCCCCCGCCGCCGCTGGCGCGGGGCTGGGACGATGCTGACCCCTTAGATCCGGCTCCAGCTGCGCCGCGAGAAGAGGGGGCGCCCTCCCCGGACCCCCGCCACTCTCTGCCGGGCGCCCCCATTTCTTCCTTCCCATCTCCCGGCCGCCTTGCCGAAGGGAGCGCGGATCCCGGCACAGGAGCCTGGGCGGCGAGCGAAGAAGCCGGACAAAGTGAGGGGGAGAAGGCCGGCTGGCCCGGGGTGCCCGGGGACCCCGGGAAGTGGGGTGCTCGCCGGGGGGCTGCCCTGGAGCCAGCGCCCCGCGGGCAGCATGGGAGCGGGGCTGAACTGGCCCTGCTGGGGGCTCAGCCTGCGCCCTAGGGCTCCCCCGATGCGCCCCCGCCGGTGCCCCCCGGCTGCGTGAGGACCCCTCCTCCGAGGGGCGCCCTTGCCCCTCTCCGAACCCCTGGGCCCCGGCTGGCCGAGGATGGACGAGGAGGAGGATGGCGCGGGCGCCGAGGAGTCGGGACAGCCCCGGAGCGCCCTTCGGCTCAACGACCTGTCCGGGGCCGGGGTCCGGCCGGGGCCGGGGTCGGCGGAGAAGGACCCGGGCAGCGCGGACTCCGAGGCCGAGGGGCTGCCGTACCCGGCGCTGGCCCCCGTGGTTTTCTTCTACTTGAGCCAGGACAGCCGCCCGCGGAGCTGGTGCCTCCGCACGGTCTGTAACCCATATCCTTCGGGGCGCCCTGGGCCGGGCTAGAGGGTCCAGGGTGGGGGGGTACCCAGAGCCAGGGAAGTCAGAGAAGTGAGCCCCGAGGGTGGGTAGGCGAGAGGGGGGCTGCTCAGGAGGGGAGGGGCATCGCGATGGGAGCAAGAGACGAACTGGGCCGGTGCGGACCCCGGGGGAGCCCCACCTCCATCCACACACACCTCAGTCCTCCTTGGGGTGAGGGGCTTGAGATCCAGGCCGGGAAAAGAGAGGAGACGTGCCCCGCTGGTTTGCAGCTGGATGCTCTCCAGATGTGGGCAGCGGAGGGTCGTCATCCTCCAGATGTGGGGAGCTTCGGGAGCCTGGACTGTCTCCTCCACCCGCCGCGGGTTAGCGAGCTGGGTTCGGTTTCCGAGTTTGGGGGCTGGGGTGGGGAGGAGGCTGCGGGGGGAGGAGGGGAGACCGCAATCTCCTGGGTTTTCCTCCTGCCCCCGCCCCAAAGTTTGCGGCTGATTCTAGGGTGTGATCCCTACCACCTGGTTCTGGGGGCTGAGGTCTTTACTGACCCAGAGGGAGATGTTGCGGGGGCGGAGACCAGGTCTTCACCCCCCCAAGCCCCCATCCCGCGGGTTGGAGGCACAACAAGGAGATTCCGGCGGCGGCTGATGTCAGGGGTGCAAAATGAGAACAAGATGTGGTGGGGGGGGCCGTCTGCCCCCGGAGCTGGACCGGAGCCCCTTTCAGCTGGAACCCAATGCGGGGAGTGCCTCCCTCCACCTCAATTCCTCGTTTGAAGCCTAGTGCTTAGGATTGGGCTGGGAGGGTTTTTGTTTTTTTTTTTTTTTTGTACCGGGAACCGAACTCGCGACCTCGCGCTTGTCAGGCAGGCACTGTGCGGCTGAGAGTATCTCCGGCCCCGGGGTTGGGAGTTTTGTGCTGGATTTTTTTTCTTGTGGCAGAAGCTTTGGCAACTGGGGGGATGGGATGGAGCCCATCCAAGTTACCCCTCCCCTTTCACGAACAGTGCTGGGCTGACGGCAGAGCAGGTATGGGAGACCGCAGCCCTGTGGAAGGATTCGGGGGCTGTGTGCTTGCTAAGAAGAACTCAGGTCCACCACTCCAGGGTCTGTTCTGTGATTGGGGACCGGTGCCCCACATTTCAGGACCGTACCCTAGCCGCTGCCTTGTGTGGAGGGGTCGGGGAGACCCCAGCCCTCTCAACCCATAGCACAAAGCGCTGTTTGTCTAACGCCAGGCGCCAGGCTCCCGAGAAAGGAGGGGGTTGGTTGTGCTGTCATCCCTGGTCATGACACCTTCGCCTGGCTCAGTCCTGCCAGCTCAAAGCTTCTTGGGACTCAGGGTGGCAGACCCCAGGTCCAGGGCTCTGCTTTGGGGAGGGGGTGGTGAGAATCTTGGTTCTGCCCTCCCTCTGCGGTTCTGCTGCATCTAGGATGCAAAGCCTGATGTGAGTCCCCTCCGCTCCGCCAATCCTGGGTTTTTGGGAAGCTCCCCCAGCCCCAGCCCCTTCCTCTCTTCTCTCTGAGCTGCAGAAAGAGATGGGGGCCTCAGAGGTCTGTGGTCCTGCTGCAGAGACAGGCACCTATTGAGCTGAGGGTCCCCACCCCCAGCCCCTTTCTCCATAGCCCAGGTGGAGGTGGGAAAAGAATATTGCTGACAAGGATGGACCCTGGGCATCCATCCTCTGTATCCCTGGCCACCTGCCCCTTCTGTGAATGGGAAAACCCTCCAGCCCCCTCTCTTTCTTCTGGGGGTCCCAGGGAGGTCATGAGATCTCTCTCCTCTCCCTCCCCACCCCCTCAGAAGCAGGCCCCCTGGCCCTGGCTCCAGGTGCAGTGAAGGGTCTGGAGACAGATGTCCTTGTGGAAGAGGGCAAGTGGCCAGAGATGGGCAGGAGCCCAGTACCCTTTTGAGGGTAGGGAGCAGGTTTACTCGGGGAGTGGAAGTGTGGGGTGCGGGGCACCCACATCACTGGGTCAGGGCTAGCAGCTGCGCCTGCATTGGCTGAGGATGTGTTGAGAACAACTTCTTGGCAAAGCGGTTGCCCAAAGCCATGCCCCTGGTGCTTCCGACCTACCCAAGTGCCAAGGGGAACCTGTGTGTTCACTGCCAGAGGGGCTCTGAACTGCGTCTGGGGCCTTGGCCTTCTTCCTTTGCCCTTTTGGGCGTCTGTAAAACCTCCATGGGCTCTAGGAGGTTCCACCTCCGAGTCTGAGGGACAGACGACCCCTCCGCCCAGCTACCTGGAGCTAGTTAGCGTTTTCTTGACCATTCTTCCTTTCAGCTCCTTCCTGTCTCAGCCTCTTTAGGAGACCAGCTTTCCTAGAGAGGAGATCTAGACTTAGTAGGTAGGGGATGCTGCGTGTGTGAGTGTGAGCACGAGTGGGTGTGTGTGTATGCGTGTGCTGGGGAGGGTGGAAGGGCAGCAGAAGGAAGTGTCACAGAAGTGCGTGTCTCAGTACTGGGGAGAGCAGGGGAGAGGCTCAGTCAACTCAGAGCCAGCAGGCCCCGCCCTCAGGTTACAGGGGTGTGTTGGCCTTTGCAGCGTGTGTTTCTCCAAGTGTGCGGGCGTGCGTTTCCCCTCCCGGGAAGGAGATCCTGAGCATTCCCTCTCCGGCTGTTGTGTCACATCTGGAAGTTTGTGTAGGAGTTTCTCCAAGCTCGGAGCCCAGCGCAGCTTTTTCTCATTTGGAAATCACAGGCTGGCATTTGGGATGCCGAGAGGGGGGGGGGAGTGGGAGTGGGGGGAAGGAGCCTGCCAGGAGCAGGGGAAGGAAGGGGGAGGCCTGAATGGCAGGAGCCCTAATGGCTTCCAGAAGTGGATGTGAGTGTGTGACCGTGCGTCACCGTGTGTGTCTGAGTGTGTGCCTCGAGAAGGAGGGGCCCCCAGGAATTTCTGGAGTCTTCCTTGCTGCTGTCCCAGTGCCCCGAGTCGGCCTGCTTCTTCTACCTAGGGAGATCGCTCCCTTTGGTCCTCAGAGGAAGTAGGGTGTGTTGGGGGGTTGTTCCTGACTCCCCACAAATGCCCTCTTCCCATTTCCAATCCCCAGGTTCTGCAGACAGGATTCTGGGGAGAGGAGCTGAGCAGAATCAAGGTGGACAGAGCACCCCGTGGAGCTGTCTCTGTCCCAGGCCACCTTCCCTGTGGGTCACACACACGCCTTCCCACCCACTGAGCTCCACTGCACAGCTGAGGGACTCCCCGTCACCCCTAGTGCCAGTTGGAGCCATTCCTGGGGCTCCCCCCACGCCGGTCCTCCCATCCTTGGCTGCTCCCGCCCCGGCTCTCACCCCGCCCTGCCCGCCTTAGCCGGGATGGCGACAGACACAGTGCTCACACACGCGGACATGCGCACACGCGCACACGCACACACAGTCACAGGCGCTTGAATCAGATTTCTGGCCTATTTCCCCTCCCAAAGATTCCAGCGGCCGCGTGTCTCTGGTGTCTCCATGTCTCGAGTCTCTGTCTCGGGGTGGGGCCGGCTGCTGCCTTGCTGCTGGCTTCAGGTTTCCGTTCAGCTGGAACCTTCCTCCTCACACACCCGCCCACTGGAGCTGGAAGCCCTTGCAGGAGGGGGCTTGGCTGGGGAATCCCCCTTTCCACCAGGCAGGCGGGAGCCACCAGGCTGTATCCCTGTCCACCCTGGGGAGTCCTGAACCCGGGGCCCAGCAGGCTGTCTGTGGGGTGGGTGAGGTGAGGACCCACTCACCCTACCTCTCCAACTCTTACTAGAAGGCCAGGATTCCTGGGTCCAGGCCCATTTCCTCCTCAAGGATCGTCAGTCTCAGATTTCCAGACTCCTAGGAGGGAAGGAGGCGCTGCTGTGGGGCCTGCTTCCCTTGATCATGCCCAGAGCCCCATAGCCCTGGAGGCCCCCAGTGTGCCTCTCACCCCTCTAGCTGCCAGGCCGGGCGAGGGCTCTGTCTAGATAAAGCTCCGCAGAGAGGACGCGTTTGTGGAGATAACATGCTCTACTTCTCGCTCCCAGGAGGGAGAGGAGGAGGAGGAGGAGGGTGGAAGTAGGGTTCCTTTCCTGCCATTTCCTTTTTCTCTGCTTTTGATGGTGGGTTGTGGGGAGAAGAAAGATCCTCCCCTCTCCTGCCCCCCCTTTGGGATCCACTCCAGCCTGGACAGTCACCATAGCAACAGTAGGCATGTGACTGCACAGGTCTCTCATAGTCACTATGGCAACCAGTGTCCCCCGTTCCCTTGGTTACCATGGGGATCTGTCACATGGTTTCCCCCCAACCTGATAACCTGTGGGTCTCCCTGCTTCCCCTCCCCTGCGTGAGGAGAAGACCGCAGTCTGGGTAAGGGGAAATCATGTGTGTGTGTGTGTGGGGGGGTCTCTTTAATTACCATGGCAACAAATCCACACCGCCTGGTGACACATCCTCCTGTCATCATGGCAACAGAAGAGCATCACAGTGACATACTGCCACATTCCCAAGGAAACGAGCCCCACCCTGAAGAGGGTGAAAGACCCATCCCCATGAATTACTCCTCTATTCAGATTGTCCCAAATGTGCTTGTCCTTTGATGCCAACTTAGGGTGAAGAGGAGAGAGATGCAGCAGGCAGGATGTACCTGGCAGTGGGCTGAATGCCAACGGGACCTTGAGGAGGGGCTTTTCTGGTGAAGAGCCTCTGTGGGCAGATTCTGGCTAGGCAAAGTCCCAGTCTGAGCCTGTGTGAAGGGGGACAGGAGGGGCAGTTGCTCCAGGGTCAATTCTCCCCTTCTCCCCATGGCTACAGTCAGCCCATCACTACGGAGGACATGAATGTTGAGCTACATCTGGCTTCTGGACAGGCCAACTGACTGACTGATCGATTGGTTTGTTCGTTCATTCATTCATTCATTCACTCGTTCTCCTCGTGCCTTGATCATCTGCTCCCTGCCGGGCACGGCACTGAGCTCTGTTGGAGGGAAAGGAGGACATGGTAGAATGGCCCTGCCTGCCAGGAGCCCACAGCTCAGGCTGGGAGTCAAGTGTGCAGATGACTTCACATGGTGCAGTCAGGGCCTGGAGGGGCTCAGACAGATGTGCCTGAGCCCCTCTGCCCGGGAGAACCGCTTGTCCCTGCGTGGAGATGTCAGCTCCCCCTTGCAGAGCAGAGGAGTGGGGAGCTTGAGGAGAGTGACAAGTTCTAAAGGATAATTGTGTCCTTTCCTTTGCGAGAGGTGGCTCCCTCCCTCCCTGTCCCCCGATTCCAGAGTGACCCCTGGCTGACCCCTGTTCTGGGGAGAGATCCATTGGGCTCTGGCTGCACTCAGGAAGAGAACGCCTTTGCAGCAGCGTGCTTCCCCTTTTCCATCTGCTTACCCCCCAAACCGCAAACATTTTTTTAAAGCACTCATTCCGGTACGGGGTGGAGGTTAGGGAAATGGCAGTGTTTGGGGACTTCTGAGGTTCCAGGGACAGATGGTGGGCAGGGATGTGTGTTTGGAGGCAAAGAGTCGAGGTGACAGGAGAGGTAGAAAGAGAAAGATGGGCTATGGCTCGGACCTGCTTGGAGGGGGTTTCCGGGGCCGTGGACGTTCTTGCTGATCTCTTCACGCCCGGCCAGAACCCCCCATTCCTGAGGCAGGGCTGAAGCAGGAGACTGCGTGTGCTGCGCCCCTCTGAGTCTGGCGTGGTGAGGCAGGCAGGGGGGCTGCTGTGACCCCCCCACATCCATTCCTGGGCAGCCCCTCTCCCCCGCACCCCACCTCTGCTTGGTCTTAGACTCTTTGCTCTTCCCTCCCCTCGTCCTATTTCCCATGAGAAAAACAGGTTGCTTGGTCATTTTTCTGTCTGTCTGGGGCCTGGAACCTGCTGAGGTCCAGAGGCTGGCTTGCCTATTCTCCTGCCGACAGGCTGGACTGAGTCCCTCGGCCAGAGAAGATTCAGTATAAAGATCTCAGCCTCCACTGCTATTCTGAGCTGTGCTGGAAGGTACGAAAAGGTATGAGGGCAACGTGGCGTGTGTGGGGTGCTGCCCACGGCCCAGCGTGGGGTTTATGCCAGCACTGTGCACGGCGTGGCATGAGGCCTCCATAGTGAAGTTCCTGACCGTGTCAAGGCCGACTGAGACTTGGAGAGGTCGGGGCTGCAGACACGGGGTCCTTGTCTGCCATGTGCCAGGGTGGCCCTGGCAGCTCCTTCCATGTCCACCTGGACAGCTACAGGGTACAGAAGCTGGCATTGTAGATGGGGCACTTGGAAGCGTCTGTCTCACCCTGGCTCCTTGAGGGACTTCGGCTCTCTCTGCCTCCGTTTCCTTGGGTTCCGGGGAACCAAGTGACCCAGCCTGGGTACTTTACGTGGCTGCTGTGAGCATCTGCCATGGCATTTGTGAAAGCGCTTGGTAAACTGTAAGGCAGCCATAATCCGACTGTAGGTTTGTGTAACACTTTCGCATACATTATCTCACTTCCTTCTCACATCTACCCTGCGAGGTAGGGAGAGCAGCTCCGACTCAGCAACAAGCTCGTGGCGCCTGGCATTTCCACAAGCACGATCGATTCTGTTCCCCAAATGGCTTGTGCAAATAGTCAGGGTATTTATGACTGGTCCTCCTTTACAGATGAGGAGGCTGGGTCCGGAGGGATGAGATCACCAAGGTGAGCCAGGGCCCTCCTGTCTCACTGCGTTGCAAATCAGATGGGGCTGGGAGGTTGGCGGGCAGCAGGTGTTAGGGCGGGATGCGGGGAGCACTTCCAGTCAGCCCTGCCAGCTGTGTCCTTGACCCCTGACACCTGGTTCGAGCGGATCAGCATGCTGGTCATCCTTCTCAACTGCGTGACCCTGGGCATGTTCCGGCCATGCGAGGACATCGCCTGCGACTCCCAGCGCTGCCGGATCCTGCAGGTGAGTGTGCATGTGAGTGTGCGTGAGGGGGGCTCAGCACCCCATCTCAAAGCTTCTGATTTCCAGCTGGGGGCGTGGGACTGGGTGGGGGTGGGCATGGTCCTCCCATTCCCTCCTCAGGTTCAGCAGCCTCTCGTTCCCCACACCAGGCCTTTGATGACTTCATCTTTGCCTTCTTCGCCGTGGAAATGGTGGTGAAGATGGTGGCCTTGGGGATCTTCGGGAAGAAGTGTTACCTGGGAGACACTTGGAACCGGCTCGACTTTTTCATTGTCATCGCTGGGTGAGGGCCTGCGCTGGGGGTGGGAGGGCGATGGGTCAGATCCATGCCTTCCCTGGGGGTTTCCTGCCCGCACCCTGCTCGGGCACAGCTGTTTCCTCCCTGGCTGACCACGCAGGGCCAAGGCTGCCTGCCTGCAGCGCTCTGGCCGGCACTTCTCCGACTTCCGTAGTTTTCTTGCCTCTTTCTTGAGGGGTCTGTCCTCTTGGAGTGCCCACCCCCAGAGCTGATCTTGGGACCCTAGATGCAGGAGAGGGGGAGTCAGGGTGTTCCTCATTGGCCTCTTTTGATGCCCTGGTGGCCTCAGACTCAAAGGGCCCCCCTCTGGACCCCTCCCCGCAGGATGCTGGAGTACTCGCTGGACCTGCAGAACGTCAGCTTCTCAGCTGTCAGGACAGTCCGTGTGCTGCGCCCGCTCAGGGCCATTAACCGGGTGCCCAGTGAGTAACCCCTCGGCCCCTGGACAGAGAGCCCCAAGAGGAACTGTGGCCAGCTCAGGCCCCGCCCCTACCAAACAGTCCTCCTCCGGCCGTGGCCACACCAGGCTTGGGCAGAGAGGGCTCAGCTGGGAGCTGGGACGCTAGAGCCACACAGAGCCCCTGGCTGGGGCGCTGGGAGCGTTACCTGGGAAGACCCCTCCCCCTACTTCAGCCTGGCTTAGGTCAGAGTCTCAGAAGCATCTCAGATCACCCTTCCCGGGGGATCCGGCTGGGTAGGGACAGATGGAGAGGGTGCCAGGCGTGCAAGGGGGGGACAGGAAGTGCTAATGGCCTCTGCTGGCCAGCACAACCTCTCAGGCAGCCTGGCCATCATTGGTGAGGCCACACTGGCCACACAGACCGGGGCTTCTCTCCAGACAAGGCCGCTCCGTGCCTCTCCCTCCCGGGGCTGGCGGCTGGGTCCCCTTCCCCCTCCGCATCCCCTTCCAACTCGATGCAGCGACTGCCGGGACCATTATCTAAATTAAACCGCATGGGTTTCTGGAGCCAGGGAAGGTTTGGCAGCTCTGGTCCCCCGCCGTGCTGCCCCCTCCTGCGCTCAGGCCCCCTTTGCACCTCCCCGACCTCCGCAAGCTGCAGATGGTCCCCGCTGCGGCCCCTGGAGGGGGAGTGCGTTTCTGGGGCACCGTGCCTGACTGTGTGCCTGGCGTAGCAGCAGCCCCTGTGCTCTGCGTGTGCGTACGTGTGTGTGTGTGTGTGTGTGTGTGGTGTGTGGCTGCCTCTGGGAGGCCCAGCTGCAATGTGTGTGTGTGTGTTCTGGGGGGTAGCAGGGTGCCCCCCGTGTTAACAGGAGCCCCCAGAAGAGGGGCGTGCCCCGCCTCCACCCTGCCCCAGGTGCTGGCTGGCAGATTGATAGACCTCTTCTAACAGTCTAAGCACCGGTGTAATTCCCCTAATAAACTCAGAGGAACTGATCTCAGTTGGAATAGGAGCGGCCAAGAGGGAGGGGAGGGGGGAGGGCAGAGCCGAAGCCAGGGCTGGCGGGCTGGGGGCAGGGAGATGCAGTCACCAAGAGGGCTCAGGAGCTGCTGCGCGTGAGGCTCTGTCCTGGAGGGAGCAGGGACCATCGAGGGAGCCTTTGGGGGTCAAAGCTGAGGCCTGTCTGTCTCCCAAGGGCTCGGGGGCTCAGGGCTGTTGGACCCCAGACTTGGAGTGAGGCAGGGGACAGGATCCCCAACAGGACATGTTGTATGGGGGGGGTCACGACAGCTCTCCCCAAGGAGGGAAAAGTTGTGTCTCTTCCTGTCATGATCTGAGCATGCTGGGGCTCTCTGCCTGGGTTTCCCCAGTGACCCCAGGGTGATACTGTAGGGATCAGGTGATGTGTGCGGTGAGAGAAGGCCGTGGGAGGCGTGCGCCTGCGCTTGTGTGTTACGGAGCAGGATTTGGAAGCACAAAGCCTAAATTTAAGTCCTCGGCGCCTACATTTAGCAGCACTCATGCTGAGCGAGTCGTGCGCGTCACTGCTGTGAGCCTCAGACTTCCCGTCTGTAAATTGGGGTGATATCACCCAGTGCGTGATGAGATGAGGTCAGAAACTGCAGTTATTCTGGCCCATTGGGGGTGATGCTGTGCACAGCTTAAATGGGGGTCTCGGGGGGCTGCAGAGGCTGTCTGGGGAGTTGGAGGTGATTGTTGGTGTCCTCTCCAGCTGGAGCCAGGCTGCCTCAACTCAGAATTCCCCCATCAGCCCCACTCTGGGAGTTCGGCCTGGCCTGGTCAGCTGGGCATCCCCAGCGTGGCTTCTGCCCCCACAGGCATGCGCATCCTTGTCACGCTGCTGCTGGACACCTTGCCCATGCTGGGCAACGTCCTGCTGCTCTGCTTCTTCGTCTTCTTCATCTTCGGCATCGTCGGCGTCCAGCTGTGGGCAGGGCTGCTTCGCAACCGCTGCTTCCTGCCCGAAAATTTCAGCCTGTGAGTGGCGGACGGGGCTGGGGGTGGGTGGGTGACCTGGGAGTGACTGCAGGGCTGGGACCTCCCCTGGGCCCTGGCTTCCTGTTGCCAAGGACAGATCTGCTCTTATACCTGAGACACATCTTGTCCTCAAACTTGGCTACACATTGGAATAACTTAAGGAGCTTTAAAAGTTCCAGGTGGCTGGGTGCCCCATCCAGAGACTGAGGTTGCATTGGTCTGGAGTTCAGATTGGATACACCTATAGTGCTAGGTGTGGTGGCATACCTGCAATCCCAGCACTCTGGGATGCTGAGGCAAGAGGATCAAAAATTTCAATCCTGACTGGGCAACTTGGTAAGACCCTGTCTCAAACTTAAAAATAAAAAAAGGGCTGGGGATGTAGCTCAGTGTGAAGGTCTTGGGTTCAATCCTCAGTACAGCCAAAAAAAACTCCTCCAAAACAGAACAAAACAGGCCGGGTACGGTGGCGCATGTCTGTAATCCTAGCACCTTGGAGGCTGAAGCAGGAGGATTGCTGTGAGTTCAAGGCCAACCTGGGCAACAAAGTGAGTTCAAGGATAGCTTGGACTGCAGAGTGAAACCCTGTCTCAAAAAGGCAGAAAACAAACAAACAAACCAGACGAAACTCCTAGAGTGCAGCAAAGTTTGAAAACCACTGCTCTAAAACTTGGGCCTCAGACACCCCTGTGCATGCCCACACACTCCTGCCCTGGCCACTCCCGTCTCGCATTCAGGTCTGGCCTGCCCACCCTGTGCACCTCGGTGCTGCCTTCTTGGGTGCTCTCCACAGCCTCCTCCCTGTCGCCCCTCCCCGCCTGCAGGCCCCTGAGCGTGGACCTGGAGCCGTACTACCAGACGGAGAACGAGGACGAGAGCCCGTTCATCTGCTCGCAGCCGCGCGAGAACGGCATGCGCTCCTGCAGGAGCGTGCCCACGCTGCGCGGGGAGGGCGGCGGCGGCCCGCCCTGCGGCCTGGATTACGAGGCTTACAACAGCTCCAGCAATACCACCTGCGTCAACTGGAACCAGTACTACACCAACTGCTCGGCGGGCGAGCACAACCCCTTCAAGGGCGCCATCAACTTTGACAACATCGGCTATGCCTGGATCGCCATCTTCCAGGTAGGCCGGCGGGGGCGCTGTGCGGCCCAGGAGAGGTCGCTCTGCAGACCTGAGTCAGGGTCACGCCTCTGGACTTCGGGGGCCCAGCATCAGCCTGTCCCTCTCGGCCTCCCCAGGTCATCACGCTGGAGGGCTGGGTGGACATCATGTACTTTGTGATGGACGCGCATTCCTTCTACAACTTCATCTACTTCATCCTCCTCATCATTGTGAGTGACTCCTCTAAGCCCCGTGGGAACCGGGGATCTTAGGGACGGGGAGAAACGCTGTGTGGTCTCTTGTTCCTTCCATCTCAGAAATTCCAGGCAAAAGCAGTGGTATTTAATACTCTCTACCATTCATGGTTAATCATTTCATGGCTGATATCGCTGGTAGCTGATATTTGTTGAGCACTTACTATGCTCCAAAGGTTTGGTCACTGGGTCAAGATCTCATAGGAAGTAAGGGCTACAGCTGAGACTTCAACTCCAGGCTGCTAATTCCAAGGCCAGCCCTTGGTCCCTATCACCGACAGACCAATGATACACCCAGATGGAGGGACAGATATTGATGGGAGGAGGTTAAGATCTGCTCAGGACCAATGACAGGCACCAGATTGGTAAAGGCAGAAGGAGGCAGCTCCCAGGCCAACAGGGACAGACCCCTAGAAAGACCAGGCTGCCGGCGCACCGCCCCCTCCTCCATAACTGTCCCTGGTGTGGAAGAGAGGCTGGGCTTGGGGTAGAGCCTGCCTGGGAACCTGGTCCCACCCCCCTACCACCTTAGGGCAAGGTAGGTGCTCCAGGGAGGCCAGACTTCGCACAATCGCTGCTCTCTTCGGCCTTGCTTGGGGATGGGGTATAGACAGGGAGGTGAGGGGCCTAGTTTCCTCCCTCCCACACACCTCCGAAAAATCTTTCCGAACAGCTCTCTGGAATCACACCAGTGAAGCTAATTATCATAATTACTAGGACATGATCTAGAAAAAAAATATCTGCTTTGTCACCATAAATACTCCTTTCCATCCTTCAGGATTATGGTCCAAGCAGTGGCTGGCCTAGGGCCCTGGGGAGACTGAGGCAAGCGATGGGAGTTGCTGGTGGATGGGCAAGCTGGAGAGGCTGTTAGGCTGATCCGCGGGGTCCAGGATTAAGCTCTTTACTCTGCTGGGGGAGGGGAGGGGCACTGTGAAAGGGGTTCAGGCCAGGCCAGTGAGCCTCACTTTCAGATAAGGCCCCATGGTTCAGGAGCTCGCACAGCTAGGATTGGGGCCACAAGGGGGGGAATCCTGTGAACAGATCCCAAAGTTTCAGTCCGACTTGAATGCCCCCAACCTCCACGTGCGTCCATTTCCACAGTGTTCGCTTTCCTGTAGGAGCCAAGGGATGCTTAGAGTCTTCCCAAGTAGTTGTGTTCAGGAGCAGGAATTTGGGAGGCGACCTTGTAGGGCACCATGATAATCCATCGCAGCATCTTGGAGTTCCACAGGGTCTGGCTCAAGTCTTAGCCTTGCTCTGCTTCAGCCAAGGGATCTTGGACAATCCCTTGACCTCTCCGAGCCTCAGCTTCTTCACCGCTCAGGTGCGATTGTAAGAGCTGTCCTGAGAACGAGACGAGATCATGTTGGGGAAATCCTTGAGCCCAGCGCCTGGCCAGCAGGAAGCTCGCTGAATGTGGCGATCCGCTTTTCTTCAGGACATCTCCTCTCCCGTCCCCACCCCTACAGGTGGGCTCCTTCTTCATGATCAACCTGTGCCTGGTGGTGATTGCCACGCAGTTCTCGGAGACCAAGCAGCGGGAGAGCCAGCTGATGCGGGAGCAGCGCGTGCAGTTCCTGTCCAATGCCAGCACCCTGGCCAGCTTCTCTGAGCCGGGCAGCTGCTACGAGGAGCTGCTCAAGTACCTGGTGTACATCCTCCGCAAGGCAGCCCGCAGGCTGGCCCGGCTCTCTCGGGCCGCAGGCGTGCGGGCCGGGCTCCTGAGCAGCCCAGTGGCCCTCGGGGGTCAGGAGCCTCAGCCCAGCAGCAGCTGCTCCCGAGCACGCCGTCGGCTGTCCGTGCACCACTTGGTGCACCACCACCACCACCACCACCACCACTACCACCTGGGCAACGGGACGCTCAGGGCCCCCCGGGCCAGCCCAGAGATCCAGGACAAGGGTGCCAACGGGTCCCGCCGGCTTATGCTGCCACCACCCTCGACGCCCACCCTCGCCAGGCCCCCCCCTGGGGGTGCAGAGTCCGTGCATAGCTTCTACCATGCTGACTGCCACTTGGAGCCGGTCCGCTGCCAGGCACCCCCTCCCAGGTCCCCCTCCGAGGCCTCTGGCAGGACTGTGGGGAGCGGGAAGGTGTACCCCACTGTGCACACCAGCCCGCCACCAGAGATGCTGAAGGAGAAGGCGCTTGTAGAGGTGGTCCCCAGCTCCGGGCCCCCTACCCTCACCAGCCTCAACATCCCACCTGGGCCCTACAGCTCCATGCACAAGCTGCTAGAGACACAGAGTACAGGTGAGAGCGCCGGGCGGGGGCCCCTCGTCTGGGGACCGGGGTGGGGGCTCCCAGAGAACGAGGGGTGTGGGGTCAGGGGGACCAGGGCTGAGATTCCCATTCTGCCTCTCATGGCTGTGGCACCTTTACTAGTCCCCCCACTTCTTTGAATCCTGCTGTCTTACCTGCTAAAATGGGAGCTGTAATTCACACACCGTGATAGTGATCGGTGTCCTGTAATGTGCACCAGCGCTTGCTGCTGTGATGCTATCTGCCCGCTGATGCCTGAACGTGTGTCTGTCTGTCACGTGCCTTGCAGGCAAGAGCCCCTTGCAGCCTCCCGACGGCTCAGGGACAAGCTTGTCCCGTGTCCCCATTGTATGAATGGCGAAAGCAGGCTCGGCGGGGTTGCAGGACCTGCCCAATGTTATGTTCTTGGGGAGTGGTGGCGGCAGGGCCACCTGACTCTAAGTCCCACAAGCTGTGCTCCTTGTCACCAGGCTCAGAAGAGCAATAGCATGTCACTGTGCCCAATGTGTGCCCACTTAAGGGGGATCATGGACAAGAAGCTCATTCCCGCCTCTCAGAGAGGCCCAGGGTGAAGCAGCAAGTGCTGGAAGCTGCTGGTGCCATGGGACACCCGTGTCGTGGGTGAGACACTGGATGCTGCCTGTGGATGGGCCCCATGGGCAGGGTGGCCTCCTCAGCAGTTGTGTTCAGCGTAGCCTGAGTGAACATGAATGCTTCCTGGACCGCTTCCTTGCTTCCAGCCCAGGACTGGGGTTCCAGGAGGGACATGGCCATAGGGATCAGGGATACCGGGGAGGATGTTTTGTGGGGATGTCTTTGGGGCCAGAAGGTGTTACCAGAGAACAGAGTACAGAGTACCACCTCTCCCGCTGGCCCCCATCGCAGGTCACCCATGCGCACAAGTGTCTCCACGTCCTCTTGTGTAAAAGGCAGGGCTGGGGCCATCACTGCAGTCAGGTGTGTTTACGGGAGCCCTGCATTGTACAGATGCAGTCAGGATGGGAAAGGTTGCTTTGTGCCCAGTAGAGGCATGACTCTGAGCCTGGAGGCTCCGTAAGAACCTTTACCTGGGTGGTCTCGAGGTTTTTTTCTGTGATCAAATGGATTTAAATGATATTGGTAGCTGGGGGTGGTGGCACACACCTGTAATCCCAGCCCTTGGGAGGCTGAGGCAGGAGGATCACTATGAGTTTGAAGCCAGCCTGGGCTACATAGTGAGTTCAAGGTCAGCCTGAACTGCATATCAAGACCCTGTCTCAAAAAATAAAATAAAATAACATAAAAATAGAAGAATACTAAATGATATTGGTGTTTCAGGATAGAGCACCGTGTGTGTCCACAGCACATCTGGTGTATATAGATGTATTTGCATATATGAAGGGGTACAGTGTATGTGCACATATGATTGTACATGGATGCTGTTCATGTGTACACCCACGTCTGGTGTGTGTGTGTGCGCATGTGCTCATGGCTGTTGTCTCCTTCCTGCTCTGTATGCATGACTGTGTGTGTGTGTGTGTGTGTGTGTGACATCTGCACATTGGGCGGTGTGTGTTTGTGTACGTGTATGCTTGGGCGTGTGTGCATATATTGTGTATGAGGAGGAGTGAATGCACATGTGTGTGCTTGAGTGTGTGCACGTGGCGCCCATGTGTGTGTACACATGCCTGGTGTGTGTGGGCACAAGTGCATGTGTGTGGGTGTGAATCTTAAGGATCCCTTGAAAACTGCTACTTGTAGCAGTGTTGACGGGACCTGGCTTCCCTGGGAAAGAGAGATGGCTTAGGGTCCTTGCTGCCTAGGACAACAGGGGCTGTACAAGACCGCCGAGGACAGGGAGGCCACCTCTCTGTCTGATGCCTCAGACACTGCACAGTGACCATTGCAGGGTGTTATGGACGTTTGGGGCAATCCCCACCACTGGCCTGCTGAGTGCCTCGTACCCTGTCCCTGTCATCACCCCTGCCACCCTCACTGTCCCTCTCCCATCGCAGGCACCTGCCACAGCTCCTGCAAGTTCTCCAGCCCTTGCTCAAAGGCAGACAGTGCGGCCTGCGCTCCTGACAGCTGCCCCTACTGCGCCCGGACGGCGTCAGGAGAGCCGGAGCCCGGCGACCCGGAGATGCCAGACTCCGACAGCGAGGCCGTGTATGAGTTCACACAGGACGCCCAGCACAGCGACCTCCGAGACCCCCACAGCCGGCGGCGACGGAGCGCAGGCCTGGACGCAGAGCCCAGCCCCGTGCTGGCCTTCTGGAGGCTGATCTGTGACACCTTTCGCAAGATTGTGGACAGCAAGTACTTCGGCCGGGGGATCATGATCGCTATCCTGGTCAACACCCTCAGCATGGGCATCGAGTACCACGAGCAGGTAGGGCTGAGGGCTGGCCAGCTCCCGAAAGCCTGCTTTCCCTTGGGGCGGTGCCCGCCGCCCGCGCGATTGGTGTCTCTCCTGGGCTCCTTTCCTCTCCAAGCTGCTGGCTGCATGGCGGGGAGGAAGGGTGTGGCGTCTCTGGAGGCTGAGGCAGTGATGTCTCGAATTTCTTTTGGAGTGTGCAGTTGCCAGGCAGGGTCGGGCCTGTGGCCCAGCAGGCTTCTCGGAGGAGACAGGTTTTCTGAGAGCAGGCGATGAGCATAGCTTGTGGGGAGAGACAGGTCTCTGGAAGGATTTGGGTCTTTGGAGAAGGTGTGGGGGCTGGAGGTGCCCTAGCACTCACCTGGCTCAGTGAGAGGGGTGACTGGTTGGAGGCAGAACTGTGTTGGGGGTGTTAGTGTCAGATGAGGGACGGCTCTGTCGTCTGTCGTCACCGCGGTGTGAACCAGGGCAGCTCTGGGCAGATGAGAGCGCCGGGCATGGTGAGGTGACCTGGAGCCAGCGCATCGAGGGCTCCTTCTGAGCAGCGGGCTGTTTAGTCAGGAGAAGAGGAGGCTCAGCGGCAGGCGAGCTGTCCTCAAATATTTGAAGGGCCGTCATCGCAGGGAAGAGGAGCAGGCTGAGCCGTGAGATCTGGGCTGAGGGGAGGAGGCCATTCTTCCTCTCCGTGCTGTGCAGAGACAGAGCGCGAGGCCTGGGGCACACTGTGGACCCCGCTGCGCACACTTCACTGCTCCGCGGGGCCCAAGGCAGGATTGGCTTCCCCTCCCTCATCGTGTGTCCCTGCAGGTCACCCCCTCAGCTGGTGCCCAGGAAAGGAGGCAGACGTGGAGGCAGGTGCTCCACACTGGTCCTGCTCTCCCTCTTCTCTTGCTCTCTTCTGGGGGTTCTCACCCCCTGGGGCAGCTGGGAGGGGGCTGGGCTGCCAGAACCCACCTTCTCTGGATTGGGGCCAATACTATGCCCTCCTCGCCGCATAGGGGACAGAGGCATGAGGGGTCCGTGCCAGCACAGCGGCCTCGGAAGGGGCATCTGGGCCAGCCAGGGTCTGGCTGGGCGGTGGGATGGTGGGGAGGAGGCAGGGGGAGGAGAAGGCAGGTCGAGGCACCTGGGGCACACAGCAAGATGCTCTGAAGCCCTCTGCCTGCCCTGTGGACCTCTGCTGCTGTCGGGTGGTGCGTGCTCAGTTCCTACCCACGCTGCCCTCCCGGTTGCCATACCATCACGTGGGCACCCCTCCCTCTTGCCTCCGCAGCCCGGCACCCAGCAGCCCTCCCCCCTCCTTCCCCGTGGAGGCAGCGAGGCAGGGGGCAGGACACCGGCTGCAGAGCCAGCAGGTGGGCTCTCGTGGCCCTGCGGTGGGCGTGTTGTGTCTGGGCTGCGTGGGGCGTGGGTGTGCAGCACATGCCAGCTCTGCCAGCCTCCCGGGGAGAGGTGCTCTGTGCTGCCAGGTGGGTGGGGGAAGGTGGGACAGTGTTTTCTCCTGGGACCCAGGTAGTGGCAGCCCCTAACCTCCTGTGACCGTGCCCCCACCCCAAGCCTGAACCACAACTTCCTTCCTACCTTAGTCAGGTCCCCTCCCTGCAGGGGGCAGCTCCTCAGTGCCCTCCCCTCTTCCCCAGGAGGTGCACCCAGCTGTCCCTGCCCAGCCAGTGCTGCTGGTGGAGGCCTTGATGGCTCTAGGAAGAAGCTGAGTCACACAGACCTAGGACAGATGAAGCCACAGCAAGAGGGCTTTCAGTTAGACATCAAGAAGGACGCCCCTTTGGAGAGGAAATAAAAGCCATCAGTTGGGGTGCCTGTAGCATCTCCTTGCTGAGTTCCTGAGGAAAGGGGGGACAGCCCGCAGCTCCCCCAAGCCCTTGTGGCAGGGAGGCCTCTCTCAGTATCTGCCGCAGGGGAGGTGACTCCAGGACTGGCTTGCTGAGGGCCCCGTGGGGCGAGGGAGAGTCCTCAGCGAGCTGGGAAGATAAGACGCCCCAGAAGCTGCCATGGCCCTATGCTTAGAGCACTGCGGCATGAATATTTCACCATCTGGGCCCCTGAGCAGGCTGGAGGGGGTGCCAGGGAGGCAGTGTCGTGGGGCTGAGAGACGGGGATGCCAACAGAGCTCAGGTGGGGAGACAGAGGGCAAGATGGAGGCCCAGGGGAGGAGGACGGAGAGGACAGAGACAGGGAGACCGGGAGTGGAGGGAGAGCTGGAGACAGGGCTCAGAGACAGATGGAGGCGGGACACTGGGGAGACAAGGGAGCTGAAGATGGGGACGAGACCTGGATGCCGTGAAGTGGGCGGCGCTCTGAGGGGGGCACTGCCAAGGAGGGGAGCAGGGGCCCTGACGCACCCGCTTTCCCTGCGGCGCTCTTAATGAGCCAATGGCGTCCACCAATCCTGCTATTGATTAGACTGGGGAGCCCTAGAGAAGGGGTGGCCACAGTCCTGGAGCCCCAGTCCTCTTTCCCTGGAGGGCCCTGTCCTCTTCGCTCTTACCTCTGCTTGTCAGCTTTTTTGCCTGGGATGGTGACCCCCGGCCCCTTCTCCTCCCTCCTCTTGACTGGGGAGCAGCATTTTGTCATAGTCCCTCCTCCCCAAGGCCGGCCCCGTGCCCTCCACTCTCTCTTGCTTCTTGTACCCCTCAAGCACCAGCGGGCGGAGAACTGGCAGGATTGATGTGCACAGAGGCACAAGGACACAGGACACTTAGAGAAAAAATCCCAGCTCAGGAAGTATGTGAACTGACGTAGAAAAGGAATGTTGCCCCAGTCTCCAGGGGGCAGTACATGGAGCTCTGACTTGGTGAATTATCCATCCATCCACCCATCTATCCTTGCATCCATCCATCCACCTACCCATCCATCTCTCCACCCATCCATCTGCCTACCCTTCCACCCATCCATTCACCCATCCATCATCCATCCATTCATCTGTCCACCCACCCACCCATCCATCCATCTATCCATCCATCCCACATGTACTGTGTGTCACAGTTGGGCCTGAGCAGTGGTGTGCGGAGAAATGTTTAATATCCAGCCCTCGAAACACCCAAACAATTTTTTTTTTTGTCTTTTTGAGACAGGGTTGCACTATGCCGTTGAGAGCTGGCCTCGAACTTGTGGCAATCTTCCTTCCTCAGCCTCCTGCACGCTGGGATTGTAGGTGTGCCCCGCCATGGCCAGCTCAGATCTCACTTTTAGAGTTCTCCAATTTATATGGTAGAAGTGCGCTCCTACCATAGCTCAAGCCGTCATCGTGTCCCTGAATGTGAAGTTGGGGGAAGATGCACACCGAGCTGAGCCTGAAGGGTGGGCACTATGGGAGCCAGGCAGGCATGGGGGGCCCAGAGGCAGACACCCAAATTCAGCGCAGGCATTCAGGATGTGTGTGGGCTTGGGTGGAGCTGGGATGGACAGGTGATGCGATGGGGCCAGATCCCGAGAAGATAGGAAGGAGTTGGGCGTGATGTTGAAGTTCATAGGCTCTCAGCAAAGCTTTAGGCGGGTCAGCGGTGTGACCAGGTTGGTGCCTTCTCAAAGGGCCCCTGGAAGTCATGCGTGGGGTGGCTGTGGGGACGGACACAGTGGGGGGCAGCGGGCTGCGAATGAGGCTACTGCGGGCATGCAGGCAGTTCATGCTGGGTTTTCTGTTGTTTTTTGTCCTGGAGATGGAGAGGAGCGGCTGGGAAGGCTGTCAGGAGGCTGAGTCTGCAGGACTCAGCACCCGCTGGCTCTCTGTGGGCAGGGGACAAGGATGACCGTCAAGCTTCTGCCTGGGGTGGGCGCTCGGGGCTTGAGGGGATTTGGGGGGCCATCCTGACACGGTATCCAGCAGGCTGTGGGAGTCCAGGAAGGAGGTGGTTGTGGATCCTGGCTCCCACCTGGGGCTGCACTGGGCCAGGCTGTGGTGGGAGGCGCGGGAAGACCCTGCAGGACAGGGTCTTGGGGACACAAGGTGCCTCCTAGTCATTCCCTCCTGGCTCCGAGTCCCAGTGGGGGTGCGGGTGCTAACCTCACACTGCAGAAGAAAGATGACAGCCCGTGGGGACAGGAACCGAGGGGAAGAGCAACAGAAGGAGCTGGGTGGATGGCCTTGCAGGCCGGAGGAGGACAGGGCAGGGGACGATTGTGAGTGGCACTCAGACTCCGGGCCCATCTTGTCACTCCAGATACATGTCCAGAGAGGGTTTCTATTTATAAGTGAGTAGCTCGGCTGTTCCCAGTGCGGGAAGCTGCGGGTGGGGGTGGGGCAGATGGGCTGGTCTCAACTTTTGAAAGGAGTCAGACTGCTGTGTGAGTCTCCTGAAAGCTGGGGAACTATCTCCTCACAGAACGTGCAGGCACCACAGCTGTCGCCTTTAGGTGCAAGGGTTTATGGACACCTCCCCCTAAGCCTGTCCCTTGGCCTCCAGGAAAAGGAGCTGGGGCTGGGGAACAAGCGAGGCTTTGCAAGACAGTTCTTTGCTAGCTGACCTCCCCGCACCCTTTGTGGGGTGAATAGGGGTGGAGGCGGGAAGGGTGCTGTTTGAGAGATGGTGCCCCCCGCTTCCCAAGGTCCACACGGGAACACATGCTAGAAGACAGCACCGGAATTTCAGGGCCAGGGCAGAGCTAGGGCACCCCAGAACCTGGGTTCTAGTGGGAAAGTCCTTCTGTCTCATGGACAATTCATGCCCAGTGCCAATGAGGGACACTTTGGGGGACAAGCAGGGGCGCTTATACCCAGACAAAGGACTTGAAAGCTTTTGCAAAGGAGGCACCTTTTTTTATTTATTCTTTTTTGTTATTGTTTGCAGTGCTGGGCTTTGAACTCCGGCCTTGCACGTGCTAGGCAAATGCTCTACCATTGAGCCACATCCTCAGCCCTTTTCAATAATTTATTTGGGAACAAGGTCTTGCTAAGGCCTTCCCAGGCTGGACTTGAACTTGCAGTCTTTCTGCCTCTGCCTCCCAAGTAGCTGGGATGACAAAGATGTATCGCCATGCCCAGCAAGGAGGTGGCTTTT